GAATGTCAGCTGAAATAATGTTCATCCAAGGGGTTTCTTTGGAAATAAAAATATATGTTAGTCTTGAAGAAATAACCGAACTTAAATATATTTGACACTGGTCCATGATCGTCGAATGGCCCAACTGCAGTCATTGTTTAACCGTGAGAGTTGAACGTGTGGGGTAAGGTAAAACTATCTTGAAACTGGACAAAATCTTTCTGAAACGATGAAAACATCATACGCCTACGGAAAAGTAGTTCCAGTCGGTAAAATAGTTCCAGTAGTTCCCCAGGCATATGATATTCACATTACTCAGTACAATGTCAAATCGATTTAAGCTGACATATCATCAACCTTCACCGTGGCATGATGTCACTGTGGAGCGTTAGACCTAACTGAATTATGCGCCATGCGCCAACAAGATAAAACGCAACATCTCGGTTCATCTCAGCAATGAGGCGCCATGTATTATGGGTAAAATTTTGTGATCCAAGACAATTAGCTTTTCAAATATTTCAGCTTATTTTAATCTAATTAGGGGCAATTATTGGAGATTATATCAAATATTGAGATGTTAGAAATTTAGAAATTCGACGTGGACAACCACATCGTAATTAATTGTTATTTTAACACGTCTGTGTCGTTTTAATAGCAAATTGTTACTTATATAAATCATTTTCAAAAATATGTAAATATGAAATACCAATCAAAACAACATGATAGTTCTCGACGTGAGGTGATATCAATAGGTTTATGATACTGTATTAATCATGGGATTTTACATGGTGGATGTTATTGTAGAATTATTTTTACATCAAAGGTATAGGATTATACTTTTAGAAATAACATAGCTATCATTAGTATGGGAGCAAAGGCCATTCCGTGTCCTTTTTAGAGACGAGCTAAGCGACATATATTTTCATGAACTATACGTGATACTTACCAAGAAAAATTATGTTGGCAATTCTGAATCCGCGACGGCGTTGCTATGGTAACCAAGTAAATATGACACGCCCACTTTGAGGGTCTCTTTTCAGTGTATGGTCCCTATCTCTGTCATTATTGCTCAGATTTAGATTAAATTAACACCAAATGGAAAGGAATGGGTAATGCAATCAGGAATATTAAGTTGGCAATTCTGAATCCGATATGGCGTTGCTATGGTAACAAACTAAATATGCCACGCCCACTTTTCGGAGCTATTTTCAGTGTTTGGCCCCTAACTTTGTCATTATTGCTCAGATTTAGATGAAATTTGGACCAAATTAAAGGTAATAGATAGAGCAATCCTTAAAATATGCAAATATGGTGATTTACATTTCAACTATGACGTCATAACTGTTTGTTCTTGCATATTTTATTTTAATCATAATGTATAAATCTGGGAAATCATTGTCTTTAAAATGGTCAGTATAATGCTTTTAACTACTTTAGTTTATTTCTTTTAGTTAAGTTTATTAGTTTATTTCATTCATACATGTATGATCATAAAAATTGAATAAATATAATGAAAGTGTCCAATTCACACTGTTGCTTTGGTGACAGCATGTAACAAAACTATCTGCTGTAAACAAGAATTATTTAGGAAATGTTACATTTTGACCAGTTGACTGACATGTATTCTTTTTAAAATTTGGTGACAGAAAATAATCTAATAACCATAGTTATTAAATTTTGATTGTGTTATATTATGATGTCATAATGGCAATTTTTAATCAGGGGCGTAGACAGCTTTCAGTCAGAAGGGGGCCTGCGATCGTGGCACAGGCAACCCAAAAGTATTTATAAGATAGGTTTTGAATATTACAAAAATTGATGCAACTTCCTTCAAAATTTAGCAAAAAGCTTCAAGTCGAAAGTCTTCTTTTATCTAATGGTTATATTTTTATTGGTTATTAGGGGGTGGGTGAACCCAGCGCACCCCCACCCCCCTAAGCACTACCTATGTTCATCCAATATGATAGTTGCTATGGTAACCATTAGGTGAATATGCTAGGTGAATCAGACATGTATCTACACGTGGCATGTGACGGCATTTGGGCAGAGAAGAAACATTTAGGAATGGGTCTCCACATTACATAGATGACAAATAATTGTATATGGATAATCAAATGATGACAAATTAAAAAATAATCACCCTCCAACCCCCACCCCTCCACTGATTTCCGTTGGGACTGTCCATTCTTCATTGGTTGTTAAATGAGATTATCACTGTGATAACGCAAGGGCGATAACCCAAACATTCTACATTAATACGAGTAGTATAATTTTACCGGGGGTAAGGAGGTGAAACACAAAAAACATTCCATATTATTGTAAACTTTTAGTATATTTCTATTCTTTGTCATTGTAATTATGTATTACAATTACCGCTAATCTTACGCAATTCAATGGGTTGTATTTAACTAATGATTGCTTCTTGAAATAAACCTGTCAAAAACACAGTTTTCGGGACGGAAAATCCAAAATGGCCATCCTATCATTTACCCAGACTGCCCAAATTACCCAGACTGCCAAAATGTAATCAGTTCTAAACTGTCGTACGTAAAACATCCAGACATTTCAGATGAATCCCTCAAACGGTTTAGTTAGAATCCTTTTAACAAGTCTCAATATAAGGGACAATTTACGATAATTGATATTTTAAAAATCTGGTGCTGTACTAGAGACTGCGACATACATGTTGATTTCATGGACATGCAATGTGTTCTTTTTTTGTTGACCAGACTTTAAGCAATCATTACCACAAGATACCTGTTTGGAAAATTGCTTATCTTTTTTAAAAGTATCACTTTAATGATGGATTTTTAGACAATTAAGAAATATTTTATTTTTTCGGCAAATATAAACTCGGATTTCTCAACCTAAAATGTATCGATTGCGTTGATATTTTTGAGCATGTTAATAAAATGTATGTGCTACTAACTCTTGAAAGCGGGATGTTTGATATGTCTTAGTCACATAATTAAGTATGTTTTACTATATGTATACGATTTGTCAAATATTTGTATCCTCCAACACATCGGCCATATAAATATACACTACTGATGCATTATTTTGGTAAAAGCCATGCCAGAAGGTACATTTTGATAACATATCTTCGATTGAAGACAGTGGAGATATATGATTGAGTGTAGGTATTTCCGTCGTGAATTCAAGTTGTCTAGATTAGGCTGTCCAATACTTTGTATCCTCCAAACATTAAAATATCATCTTTGGGAAAAAATATTTTTAGATTATTATTTTGAGAAATGAACGTACTTAATAAAAGTGTTTAGATCATCATTATTTAATTTTTGAATTATTTAAATTGTCTTTGTAAAACTTTATTAAGCATGTGTTGGATGATACAAAATGACTTTAAAATTATGTGAAATATAAAAGTACAATCAAAAGTTAGTTGTATTCGTATTTTTATGTTTATATTCAAATTACAGCAAAGAATGAGTCATTGCCAAACCAAGAAACAATATATTTCACTCTCAGTTTCACATATGATCATCTTAAGACTTTCTGGGAATAGCGATGCATGTAACCTTTACATTTCTATTCAACATGCTATGCTTTCTTTTTATTTCCATGACCGACACATAACCATACAACTTTGAATGATGTTTCTCATTCCCTCATTGCCCACGCTGCGTGTTTTTTCATGATATTATATTTTGAATGCCGTTTGTCGTTCCCTATGATGAATGTTTGGCCTTTACCCGAAATGATAAATGTTGCTTGCGTAGTAGTCATTGTAAGTGCCAGAATACTTTTATATCGATTCCAATGTAAATGATTGCATCCATTGCAATCTTGAATACTCCACATGCAATATGAGCAACATGCTCGTAGCCATGACAGACCTTTTTGACCTTGAGAAGGTCAAATTATTTTTTTTGACCTTGAAAATGTCATTGAAGGTCAAATCTATAGTTTGATTTGAACTTTTGAGAACTTCTAGATGATTTTGAAAAAAGAATTGGTCAATTTGAACCAAATTTAAAAATACCCTTTTGACCCTTTTTGACCTTGAGAAGGTCAATGAAGGTCGAATATCAAATCTTATGTCAGATTTGAACTTCTGATAACTTGTAGATAATTTGAAAAAAATGTATATTTGAAGGAAGTTGAAAAAAGATCTTTTTGACCTTTTCTTGACCTTGAAAAGGTCACCGAAGGTCAAATCTTGAAGGTCAAATAGAAAGAATATCGTTCAAGATCGCACGACCCCCCCCCCCCCATCCCCCCACACACAGCCTGGCTAAAAGCCTGAGTAATATAAAGAAAGACTTCATAAAAAATGTGAGTGTGTGTTATTTGGAAAAAGAAATAACCCCAGTAACTTAAAAGCATGATGGTCATTTCGAAAAAGCTCTTTTAGATTAGACGTGATCAAAAGCTACGAAAACCAAATTTAGTCTCCTGTTTAAAAAGCCATATTCTTCACTAAATTGGTTAGATTCTAGGTTTGCTCAGTAACATATTTCTCCTACTAACGAGAATGGCCAAAATAGTGGAACCAATTCTAAAAAATTAAAAGATACTTCTGGTGGAATGCGGCATATTTCTGATTTGAACGTTCAACAATTAATATGAATATTGAAATGCGTTTCAAACGTACAATAGGCCCATATTTTCATGTCCGCATATTTCGCATAGATTTGGTTAACGGATTGCATTTTTTTAGATCCGTTGAGCTGAAACCTTATGCAGTCTTTCTATCATGATATTCCCCGTGGTCCCTGTTCTATGTGTTAGAGATATCACATAAATATAAAATGTCCGATTTCGATACAGTTTCAACACCATATGGTACAACTTGGTAGTGTCTGGTGAAATATGAGTGAAATTGCGCATTTGTATAATCTTAGTATGATCATTTACGAAATGTTTTTTTTTAAATTATGAAACGAGCTTAGTGTCAAATTTAAAAAAGGTTAATCTCGTAAGAACATAATATTTTAGTTTATTTATCGCATATTTCAATTTGAAAAATATGCAATGTAATCCGATATTACTACGCTATCGTCAGCTTGATGAGTGAAACGGTTTTACTCCGACATAAAAATAGTTCTTTGTCCGTTTTAAATAACTCCTCGTCTCCCCGCATGCTGACACACTCACAAAGTGGCAAGAAGTGAAAACATCCAGGAAGAAACCGACTTAAGGTAAGGACATTATTTCATCATCTCTTTTTTCCATATGTCTCTTTTCCATCAAATGTAATTGTCGACTTTTGGCTTGCAACCGAAGATACCTCAAGAAAAGACGGAGATTGCCGAAGATTTTCTTTGCAGACGAAGTTGGCCGAGGGCACTACGAATGTGAAGACTGGACGTCTCTAATTGTTCAAAAAGAGAGGCGCGGCATTCTCCGTCAGATTGAATCGCGGCAAAATTCGGTTGTATGGCTTACCTTCGGTAGTATGGCTTACCTTAAGCTGCATGGCCCAACCTCGATTGAATGGAAAAGATGCTGTCCCAAATGTAATTTGGTGGCTTAAAATGCGGGACAGCATCTTTTCCATTCAATCGAGGTTGGGCCATGCAGCCAAAGTAAGCCATCGTCGGCAGTCTCCGGCTTTTCTTGAGGTATCTTCGGTTGCAAGCCAAAAGTCAACACCCCTTAAAATGCTGCTTATTTTTTCGTAAAGCCACTCAGTAAAATTACGATTTCTCTGCACCCTGATGTCCAATCAACATCATTCAGCTAGGAGGCCGACGGCACAAAAGCGGTGATTATTAAAAAAAAGTTAGTGGTCTTCCGCGGGACTATATTCTAGGAAACATCTTGATTGCTAAACAACTCGTTAAAGACCATGCCCAATCGGGCGTAAACAAGTAGTTCGAAAATGCCGAAATTATTACTACGCACTTTTTTTTAAAAACCGGTAAACAACAATGGGTTTATAACGTCGGCCGACAGACTGATTCGAGTATTTTTATGTTCCTGACACGAAATTGACGTAATTCATGACTGAAGTCGGGAAGACAAAAATATGTGATATTCTTTCAAAATTGTTCATAATAACTTTTTACAAAAATAGAGACACACAAATCCATTAAGGTAAGGTTTTTTTAAAGTCGGAAAGCCCTAATAAACAACCCCAGATGAAACCAGGAAGACTGCAGACTTCATGCAATGATTAAAGTTCATGTAATCAAGTAAAGTACATATAATCCCCATGGACTACGTGACATGTAATAACATGTTCAAACTGAAATATAGAAAATTTTCAACATAGCATTTGCTTTCGTGTTATGTATGCAACTCTACCTGCTTAATAAGGCAATCATTTATGATTCCACACATAAATTACACTGGGTAAAAAGTTTTGAAATAGAAACCATTGCAACCGCTTCCATTATAAATACCTATATGAAAATAATTATAAATCCAGAAAAAATAACAGAAGAATATCGTTCAGTCACTCTACTGTATATATATACACCCAAATTTATCACATGTGTTCAATGACTTGTTGGCATTTGGTTATCATATCCGATTGTATTTTCGATGATCAGTTTCCGACTGTGCTATTTTTACCTTTTTCTGCTCATCAATTGATTCATTTCAGCATCAAGAAAAATGAAGCTGTTGACAGTGATACTACTGCTGATCCTGATTGACGTCTGTATTAGTTCCAGTGAAGCGAGGCAGAATAGAAGAGGGAGAAGAAGCGACAGCAGTCATAGTAGCCACAACAGCCATCACCATAAACCAGGTGAATTTGACAATGACATTAAGGGAGTCCTTGACGTGTTGATTGAGATAGAAAAATCCTCTACGATTACAACTTTATCGCATCTGAAATGCATCCCTTACTGTATATTAAACATTATAATCACGCCCGGTGATCGTACAAAATGGATGGAGGGGGAGATTAGGCGATTTCTGCAAGAAAACTCAACTTTGGAAGATTTATTTTTTCAAGAAAAAATTTACAACTGAATTGCCAAATGAATAGGCGCAGTGCATGGCAAAATATGTTAGGCCATCTAGTATTTTTTTTGAACTGATATCCTTCTAAGATATGAGATCTATTTTGCAGGTCCTACTGGAGCAACGGGAGCTACTGGACCAACTGGAGCCACAGGAGAAACAGGAGCGACGGGTCCTACTGGACCCACAGGGGAAACAGGCGCTACGGGACCAACTGGACCCACGGGAGATACGGGAGCTACTGGACCAACTGGCACAGGAGAAACAGGAGCGACGGGTCCTACTGGAGCTACAGGGGAAACAGGCGCTACGGGACCAACTGGAGCCACAGGGGAAACAGGCGCTACGGGACCAACTGGGGCCACAGGAGAAACAGGAGCTACTGGACCAACTGGAGCCACAGGACCTACAGGTCCAACTGGAGCCACAGGAGAATCTGGTACTCCCTTCAATCGACCACTGAATTGTCCAGATGGGTGGGAGAGGAATAGTACAAGTTGCTACAAATGTATTGACAACGAGAGGATTGATTGGTTTGATGCTCTCACCTATTGTCAAGCCGAAGACGCAAATTTGGTCGCAATTGAATCCCTCAGTGAACAAATGTATCTAAATTCAAAAATAATGCTATCGAATAGCACTTATGAGACCTGGTGGACGGCGGGAACTCAGAGTCATGAGGGATATGTGTGGATAGGGGGCCAAAGTTTTCCGACCGAGGACATTACAACATTTTCAAATTGGGCAACTGGCGCGCCTACAGACGGATTTGCTGTGGAAATAAATGGTGATGGGATTTGGCAGGATGGAGATCCAGATAATACCAATCATTTTATCTGCGAGATACAATTAGCTCCACCTTCTGGACATTAGTACTGTATTTTTATATGCCTACGTTGCTAGTGAATTGCGTAATGTTTAATGAGATTTCTCCCCAGGTATCACTAAAAAGAATAATAAGCCCCGCAGTGCCCTTTACATGCTCATGTGTTCTCAATAAAAAAAGCTCATTCAAGCGCATTAACACTCATATAATTCTTTTGAAAGACATCACGGTTTATTGCAATCGATCTCCTGTGGTGCACTAGCAACAAGCCGGCGCGGTTGACACACTCGAGCAGCCGACAAGGTTGCCACAGCGTAATTGGCGGTTTAAGTGCGCTTGGATGAACTGCTTTTGTTGAAAACGTGTGAGTAACGTGCAATGCATGGACTCATTGTTCTTTTTCGTGAGAGGAGTAATGCTTACTATGTATTATGCAATGCACTCGCCCGCGGGCAGTTCAAAAAATCAGCCTAGAAATGATTCGAAATGTCACCTGAACATTCCAAATTGGCAATAAAATAGCATTCAGATAAGCTGAACTTCCTTTTTATTTTAGTTTTACTTTAATTCCCATCCATGCCTTTTCACAGTCCGTAGTATTTAAAGTATTAGCAATTCTGCATTTACTGATAACTTGGCCAAGTCAAGCATCTTGGCCCAGTGTTAAAAATGTTTTCCTCCTTTCCCGCCTCAGCATGGCGCCAAATGGTGTTCGGAAAGTCGGAAACTCAAACTTATCAGGAAATGCAGGTGAATCGCTAAGGTAAGTATAAATCTGAAACATTTCCTATTTGGACTCGACTATTATTTGAAATGATATAGCCGGGTAAGACTACTTATGGCGAACTATTTTCAACAAGATGGTAAATTGTTGTTTTTGTCTTCAGACATTGAGAAATTAGCTGTCAAACTGAAAATATGTAAAATACCATTGTATAGCAAGTGATATATTTATCAACAATGGCAGGAAGGCAAATCAATAAAGGTTACTTCAAAAGTAGGAAGTCATTTAATTTCACTCAGTGTTAAACATATTGGTTGATCATCCCGGCATTTTGGATTTTTTTAGAAAGCATCTTGATTTCACTTTTTAAGTTTGGCAAATAGATGTCACCTTTTGGTGATTTAAAAAAATCGTCACAAATTTCCAATTTTTGAAGTTGAGGAACAAAAATTGAGGGACTTTTGGCATGTTATTAGAAATGAAAACGTGTAGTTGCCAAACTCATGGTGGGGAACTCATGAAAATCAAAATTCAACATAAATTCAATAAAATAAACTGGTTTGGGGCCAAGAGGACATTTTCATTTTGATATCTTTAATGTGGCAATATTTCAGGGATTCTACAGATCAATCATATATTATATTATTTATACAATACATACATTTGTACCCTCGTGGATATCTATCCGCTCATTGATAGATCGATGGTCATCCATGGACACAATTAATAATTACATTCATTTTAAGTTTTATTATAATGCATTGTATCATTCATATCTTATTTTAGGATTGCTTAGGTGTTGCCTTAGCCATCCCATATGGTCATGCAAGCCTTGTATGGATCTATCACATGATATTCAAATTGGCGGACAACGGTCAGTTGGATTCCTATATGGTCATGTACTAGTAAGCCTTATATGGATCTAGCACAGGGGTACCACGTGATCGAATATGAAGGCTGAACTCTGGGAGATCCCCCCCCTGGGTGTTGCTATTAATAAAGATGGAGTCTTGAAAGTGGAACAATTGGCTATACTAACACGTTGACAATAGATGATGAGGAGTTGTAGGAAACCATCTTCGACTTCAAAGGTGTTGTGCTACTGAAACCTTGTAAATCAAGGTGGTGTTAGGCAAGATCCTCGAGGAAACGCTCACAACACACATTGACACATATACTGTATAAAATCATGAACGTGTAATAAACAAAATAATATCTGGAAATTGTAATGATTGTGATGTTCATGTTCGTAGCAGTTCGGTAGACTAATAACCCCGATCAAAAATTCTCAAAGATCCCCGGGACTCAACGAACTAAATTTGATAAAATTTAATGATATGGTATAAAATCATTTTGAAATTTAGCTGCCCTTTCTTGAAAATTTCTTCTTGAGTAGAGCTCCTTTTTAAATTGGAACCAAATCCGTTCACTGGTAATTGAGTTATCAAATATTACATTTTAACGACATCAGCTGCCTCTAGTCAGATCGACTGACAAAGCAACCTTTTTTGGGGTTGTCGAGTTGACCAAGAGGGCTTCAGCGCCAGCACTTTCAAACTAGGCGAGTAGGCGCCGTAGCCACGAGGTTGCGAGTTCGAGACGCGTGTGCACCTTGTGTTTATTCAATTAACATATGTTACTTCATATGTAGAAATTAGATATTTCATTTCATTAGTGTTTTACATAACTTAAACCATCAATTGAAATCAACTAATTATCAATGGAAACCAATTTAAGAGTTAACAATGGTTACTATTACTAGTTATATAGTTAACGATGGAAACAATTTAATAGTTAACAATGGTTACCAGATGAAAACCAATTGAATAGTTAACAGTGGAAACAATTTAATAGTTAATGAAACAAATCATATTAATTTCAACTGGGATCACATTAAAATAATGTTTGAATACATTAAAAATAATGGGATCGTTTTCACAATATTTATTGCACATTAAGATTTTTCGATCAGATTTGTTTTTATTATCTCAAGATAAGTTCAATGATTCGAATTATATAAGTTATTGAATGATTTGAAGTGCGATATGTCTTATATACTGTGCTCGAGAAATTCTGTATTGGCACGAAATGTAGTCGAGAACAAATAAGGAATATCCTGTGTTGCACTTCAAATCATTCTAACGTTTTTATCGTGTGATCTTAGGCCAATACATTTTAGGAGATAATCCCTAGGAAATATTCTGTACTCTCTCTCTCTCTCTCGCTCTCTTTCTCTCTTGCTACTGCGATTGCCCCATCTGTACCAATATTTTCTGTTTTGCTAAGGAGATAATCAATGGGGACAATCTCAGTAGCAATTCAGATTGGTAAACCATAGGAACTGACCAATCAGAGGGTTTCATTTAACAGATCAAACGATAAAACGTGATTAAAGATTCAGAGATTCGGGGTGCGTCACTTGGGCCAATCATATTCCACGTCGTCGAATAAAGGATTTAGGCCCAGGACTAAATGAATTGTAGGACGATTTAACAAAGTATGTCTTATTTCTAGACTTAAATAAAGAATAAAGAATATGGCAGCCTGAATTCAAAGTCCAGGATAAAAGACTAAAGTGGATCAAATCATTCACAATTCATTGAGTCGCGTGCTTAAATTATTTTAATCCATTCGTGTCTTGTATTTAGCCTTTAAAATTAAGCTTCAACTCTCATTGAAAGTCTAAAACAAAACCATCGTGTTAAAAATCGTCCACACCTCATTGAGTCATGGGCTTAAATTCTTTATCAATGCCAATTTCAGCAATTACTAGTTTCCTTCGAGTCAAAACGTTGCAACACATACTTACCCCGGAATAGCCTGACAACGGTAAAGTAGAGTCAGATACCGTTGTCACAAATGGCGGACATAATCGTCGCTTCAATTAGATTTTCATGAACTGTATGTTTAATAGAGCACCCAGACTAACTTCCTTTGGAACAACAATCAATCAAAGTGTCTTAATACTCATTGTACAGTTAATAATGTTCTACCATCGAAATAAAGTATTTAATTTTACCGACAAAAATGAGATACGGGACAACGGACACTGTAATTATTACCTTATACCGTTGTCTTTCTAAATTACTCAAATTCAGATTCCGTTGTCATTGACGATATCGAAGACGCTATATTGTGGAGATTCACGACCCAATTTGATTGAAAAGGGATTTCATATTATACATCATCACAAGAGCTTAATGCATGCACAGAATTAGCGATGATAAAATCCCATGAAATGAAGACCAAGTGATTAGACAAGCGACGATTATGTCCGCCATTTGTGACAACGGTATCTGACTTTACCGTAGCAGGCTATTCCGGTGTGATATTGTTGCCCAGTTGATATGATCTAGTTTGGTCCTCTGTTTTGAAGAAGTTAAATATGCCAAGCCTCAGTGTTTTTGCTTTTAAAGGGCTTTACATTAGGAGCCCCAGGTCATATGCATCTCGGTAACTCTTCGAATGTCAGTGTTTCAATATTTAGCAAATAGATAGATATTGGAATAAGTGTTCAAAATTGTGGCCAACCAGCTGTTAGTCGGAAGAAAATACTGTAGAAGCCGCTGCACACACCAAATTAATGAACTATATCACTACTTCGATATATCATGGGGTCTCTATTTTACACCTATTTAGTGTGTTTACGACGCCTCCCGGCGAACATCTTCTTCCACCTAAAAATATACCATTCATATTGATTGTAAGACAGGCGGATGATTGAATAGGTCTATTGGATTTTACTTAGGTAATGGATTAACTTCAGGTCGACCCCTTTACTTTTCAAAAGTGCAAAGTGAACTTATTTTTGGTTTATTCAGTTCAAAGTCATTTCCTTAAAAATTAATAACGCTAATCAAACGATCACATGTTCTGATTCAAGTACTTACTACTAACGCAAATTCCATGCCCCGAAAATACTAGTACTCACCAGGAATTGTAAAGTCCTGTAGATCCAGTCGTAGCCCTCTGAGAGGGCTGGGTAACATCTGAAAAATACAGTATTTTAGTAAATCATCAATTCAAGCACTTATTGGTAAAGTAGACAGATATTAAATTCAGTTATATATAAAAATAAAATCCTTTTAATTCGTCATCCTAAGTTATATCTAATTTTTCTGATACCAGTATGAAATTGATGAGTTAAATGAATTGGGTGACTTACCGGTATGGAATGGAAAATTCGATGGGATAGACGCATGCGCAGTCGGGGTTGTAGGAAAAGTAGGATCTATATGTATAACAGGAGACGTTACGTCGACCACCCTTGTGGCACCACTCTTAATTGTTGGAGTAAAAGTATCTATATATATAACAGGAGACGATACGTCGACCACCCTTGTGGCATCCCTCTTAATTGTTGGAGTAAAAGTAGGATCTATATATATAACAGGAGACGTTACGTCGACCACCCCTGTGGCACCACTCTTAATTGCTGGAGGAACATCGGTGGGGTTGGTAGTTGTCTTACCACGAGGTCGAGTCGTAGTTGTTGTACTGCTCGCAGTTGAAGCAGGTGGTGTCGTACTCATCTGCATCGACATGATTGAGGTTGCATTGCTTTTGTCAGAACCATCACCTTCCGTAACATCATTGCATTTCCCAAGTCTTTCAGACATCAGAGCTATTATATCGTTTCGCATGCTTTCAAAGGCATTTCTCACTTCTTGAACATTGTTTTGAATGTCATCGAAATCATTTTTCATCTGTTCAATGTTATTTTGTACACCATCAAATGTGTCCTTCATTTCATCAACATCTTTTCGAACTTCACCGAGACCTTCTTTTACTTCTCCAACATCGTTTTGGACTTCATCGATAGTGTCCCTCATTTCCTCAACATCACTTTGAACTTCACCAAGATTATCATTCATTTCATCAATATCATTTTGGACTTCACTGAGATTGTCATTTACTTGTTTAACACCATTCTGAACTTCATCGACGTTGTTCTTCACTTCTGTAACATCATTTTTGACTTCATTAAAATCATTTTTCAGGCTTTCAACATTGTCTTCCAAAACCACAGAATTGTTTCTTATTATTTCAACATCACTCTGTACTTTACCGACATGGTCCTTTACTTCTCCAACATCATTCTGTAGTTTAGTAATATCAGTTTGGAGTCTTTGCGCAGTTGCTTTGGTCTCCCTGCAACACATCTGTGTGTCATTTTGGAATACAGCCACCCTCTCAAAAAGTCGATCAATGTCAATCTTTGTGCATGTCGGACTTGTAGGCACCTGTTCCTTTGGTGGTTTTTTTTGCTTCTTCCGTTTTGCTTCAATTAGTGAAACAAAAATGAAGACAAATACAATCAGTATTAACAGCTTCATAGTCAATTCGTTGTTTCAGCTTTGCCCCCTTTATTTCTGAAGATTCTAAGAAATACAATTAAGAATATGCTGTCTAGCTGTTGTTTGAACTCCGATCTCAGCAGTTGATTTGAAAGCAATGCAACGTGGCAACCTCATGCTATACATATAAAGGTGATTTTCAGCACCTGTGCAAGTTGAATAATTTTTTTAGTTATCGTCCTCAGAAAATCAGTCCAAGCTTCTCATACAACTGTCGGATGCATAACGATATTAACACAAGTACCAAATGGGAAACTAATACTTTAGGCTAGAGGTCATGGTGGTTCTTTGATTTGGTAAATTACTTCAGCAACAATTAGCTTAGTGTTAATTAAATATTTTGCAATTTCAGCTAGGGGTTGAAATTAGCAACTCAATTATTGCCCATTATTGCTTATAGTGGTTGGCTCCAGATAAATATAATGTCTGCATTTCTAATGTGGAAGAGTTGTATTGTTTGTTATTAACAAGAAGCACATATGGGCCACCATTAGCCTTGAGTATACGACATAACACATGAAAGTGAAGCACCAGCGATTTTCTCCAAGAAATATTAAGGTCTAAAAACAAATTAGCAGCTTTAAAGGAATTTGATAGCTACATGTTTTGAGATCACAGAATTGTTATCCAAGACAAAGTACTGAACTATCTTATCAAAGTAGTACAAAATAAAATATTTATTTATATATAGCCACTAAATAAGGACATGTACATGATTTGTAGTTATATACAGAAAGTAAAGACATAAAAACTTTACTCTGAACTAGTCTTGTCCTTTGTCCCTTTAATATAATCAAATCCTCTGCAGTTTATGCCATTTCTAACATAGTAAAATATAGATGTCTTTAAATCTGATTCTGGAAAAGAAACTTGGAATTCTAAAACTGTATTTACAAAAAGATGTCTCTTATAAATACAATTAGCAATCTCATTTCTGAAACAACAGCATCGTTTAAGTTCTTATGTTATCATAGAAAAACCTGTTTAAGCGGAACACCTTTGGTTGTTCTGTAAAGTGTTCCACTTTGGAGGTGTTCTACTCATAGACGAGGTTCATTTAATATTGAGTCAGTTGGTCTTTAGATCCTAAAAAGTGTTCCACTAACAGAGGTGTTCCACTTTAAAGGTTTAATTTTATGTAAATCCAGTAATTCTGAAAAATAAACCTATGTTTATGAAGCCCTGGACATCCTGGATGGATTTAGATGAATATCAAATGTCTTCATAGTTTTTTATTCAATATCCCAGCCCCTTTTACTAAAATAAGTTTGGTTCATAACCCACTCACCATCTTCTCCATAGCAAAATTTTCTGAAGGACAAATTAAACCCAAATTTATTCTCCTTTTCCAGAAACAAGTCAATCGTAGCATAATTTTGATTTTAAAGGTCATCGTTGCTTTTTATATGAAATTGCTAAATGTTTTTTCATGCGACATTATAAAATCATGACTAGTATCGTTGGCTAATCGCCAAATTAAACCAAGTCGCAAATTAAAACAATTTAGTACAAGTATCTAGTTTTGTTCAAAATTAAAATTAAAAACGAACTATACCAAGATTATAACAATCCCTTTAAAGGCCCCATGTAATGTTTGAGACTATGTTTTTATCATTCATTTACTATTTTTCATGACTTCCAGAGATATTCGAGAGATTTTTGAAAAAGAAAAATATTTTGAGAAAAAATTGCCAGCTTTTCTTTTCCTAAACATTTAAATTTCCTGTCATATTTCAAACAATGTTTTGAAGTTAAAAAAATAAGTTACACATATCACACTTTGATACCATTGGGTAAGACAACAATATAAGCCAAAGTAGTTAAAACTTTATATGGGGCCTTTAAGGAACACATGTTTCAATCTGACAATTCTTATGTTAATACAGAAATAATTGTATGCATCAGACTTAAATATCTTGGTAGTGATTTCTAACAGCTTTACTGAATGTTCAAACGGGTATAATGCACAATTCAAAGGTTTGTGCGAGACATGTAACACTGGGAAGGTGAGAGATTCAACATACAGTGTTGTTCCAGGGGGTTGGATTTTGAAGAAGTATTTTGTCATGCTGGTGGGATTCTGAAATCCATTTTCCTGACAATCAACAATTTTGACTATACAGGGTGGGCCAATAAAAATTATTTTCTATTTACTCAAAATGTTCCAATTTTTATTGGCCCACCCTGTATTTAAACAGCTATTACTGCTCGCAGGGTGCTGAATCAACAGCACAATTTTATTTTGTCAAAATTCCTACCCCTTCCTGTAGGGTCTCTCTCACACACCTCAGACTGATTCATGATAAATGCCCACACAGCTGTAGTTAATGCTTACACAGCAGAGTTGAATATTCAAACATCTGTGGTGAATGTTCTTACTGTGTGAGATTAAATGCTCACGGGCAATTCCAGCGGGCAATTTTTTCTTAAAACGAGTTCATGGAAGGCTTACTTAAAACTGTTTGAGTTCATAATTGTTTATCTGTACATTTATAAACTGTAATTTTCAAAGGCACATGATTGGCAAAACTGGCAACAATTTCTTTTCACTATTGTTGACACAGCCTGCATAAGAGACACTTGCATTATTGCACTTCCTTCTACTGAGGTTGCTGGGCAACAGATCCCCATGCCCCCTGGGATATAGACAGACCTGCCATCTGGTGGTCAAGTTCTGAAATAAGACATTAAAATTCTTGAATTATGATTCCATGAATAAAATGCCATGAGTGGAAAAGAGGAGTAAAATCGTGATATAAACAAGGAATAAAAGTAAACAAACAACTATAAATTGTACAGAATTAATGCCAGGAACCATACCTAAGCAACAGCATACATTTACATTTAAACAAAGAATTATTTATACCTATAACTATAATAGGTAGGTTACATTACCATTCAATGATGTTAATAAATTGACCTAATTAATGAAATGTATATACTAGTATTAACTGGGAATATACATCTGCTAAAAGTGTCACGCATTCATGACTTGAAATTTTGGATGAAATGAAAAATAAACATTAGTATCAAAATATGAGAAATATGTCAACATACAAAGTCATATTTCATATATGTATATTGAGTAGACCAGCAACCAGAATGCTCCCCATAATTCTTTCGTAAAGCAGAATAAATACTCAATTTCATGATTATGATGAAAGCTGGTCTGATATCAATTTTTATATTTTTTTCAAGTGGGCGTAATTGGGTTTTCAAATGGGTGGAAATGGGTACAAATGGGTGCAAATGCATTTTCAAGCATTTGCAGAATACAATCTAGTTCCACTCACTTGCACCAGGTGGACCTGCTCCAGCCCTAGTGGCGCCCCCTCTTGGTGGATTAGCCCCAGCACGCATTCCCGGGCCTTTTGGCATGCCAAGATTGGTCAAAACGCCACGTCCTCTCCCTCTTCCTATACCTGTGTGTGAAAAAATCATATAAATCAGTTTTGAAAAGTGTTAACATCTATAAATATAAGATGACAACATTTTTCAATTCACAAGTAAAACAGGTTTATCAAACTACTTGTCAATTATCAGGTAATGAATTGCATGTTTACGATGGCAATTTTATGATTGTATACTGAAATGATTGTATACTGAAATGATTGTATACTGAAATGATTGTATACTGAAATGATTGTATACCGAAATGATTGTATACCGAAATGATTGTATACCGAAATGATTGTATACCGAAATGATTGTATACTGAAATGAATTATCAAGTGGACAATTGGAGATTCTTAAGGCATAGACCAACAAAGCGATTACTTGAAGAGTTACTCGATGTTGTTTATGTCATATGACAGGCATTGCCTTCAGACAGTAGGCTAAAATTGCATTAAATTTTGACACTTGGTTGTTCCATTTTTTCAATAGACATGCAATACTGTGTGCATAAGTTGGTCTCAAGATATATCTAAGATATTATTTAAGCAATTATAATGGGACATCACTGATGGGTGAGAAACCCAAGAGACAATACATCTCTAACTTTGCGAGTTCGACACGCGTCAGGCCCATGGCCAGGATTTGCCAAGGGGGGGGGTTCAGTTTTCAAAAATTTCCAGGGGGGGTTCATATTTGACAATTTTGACCCTAATATGGCTAAAATCACTTGAGAAGTGCTCCAAATGGTGAAAATCTGCATGATTTTGAAAGAATTATTGGCCAGGGGGGGGGTGCCCGAACCCTGCGAACCCCCCCTGGCTACGGGCCTGCGCGTGTGCTCATGTTTATTTCATTTACCTCCAAATGCCTGAGGTGGAAGTGGTCTGCTTGTCATTGGCTGTTGTTGTTGGACTAGTTGTTGGGGAACTGTTTGTTGTAATGGCTGAGCTGGTTGTTGTAATGGCTGAGCTGGTTGTTGTAATGGCTGAGCTGGTTGTTGTAATGGCTGAGCTGGTTGTTGTAATGGTTGGGCTTGTTGTTGTAATGGTTGAGTTTGTTGAGAGGTTGTCAAAGATGCCCCTGGACCCCAAGATGCCCCTGGACCCCAAGATGCTCCTGGACCCCAAGATCTGGGAGCACCTAATAAAACAAATACATTCCTTGATAAGTCAATTTAATTGTTATTATTATGTTTGTGAACTATTTTACTACCTATTTAAAATATTCTTTCCCGTCTGCAAAAATCACTCACTGAATATTATTTAGAGTAAATCACTGTTAAAAAATATCAATAACAATATTTTTTATCACATGTTATAGAACTGACAACTCGGGGCCTTGGAAAACAAACAGCACAAAACATATACACGTACCTTGTTTTTGTGGCCCCCAGGATCTCATAGTAGCCGGTTGTTGGGTGCTCGACTTTAGTGTGTTTGTGTCGTTAACTTCCTGATAAAACAAACAACTCACAGGGTGAACAATATTGTACAAATGACCCTAAAAAGACTATATCGATTCCTATATGATCATATAAGCCTTATATGGATCACATGGATACAGTGTGACCCAATACCAACTCTGAATTTTGAGAGATCCCCCTAACTAGCTTGGTAGCAGTATAGCTACCAATGTTTGCTTTGTTATTTCACTTTTATAATTTCCTGAATTAAAACTGGAATTTAGAATACATATGTCATTTTAAAAACAAGCAGACAATGAAAATGAAGATATTTATCAATACGTTACCCTGAGCCTTCAGATTATGACATTACCCTCTAACAAAAACAAATTAACAGTTTGGTACTGGACCAATCAGAGAGCATTGAAAGTCACGTTTGTATGCTTACATATAAGTTGTATAGAGAATAGTATTTATTTGAGGGATGCAATGATCTGATTGGTCCAGTGAGTTTATAAATGAATACCAGTAAGTGAGAGTGTGAGAAGATGATATGAAGCTTTCAAAGGGTTATAAATGTCTACCTATGAAGAATGCAATAATTATGCTATCTTCTATTAGGTTTATTTTTTTATGAAATATTACCTAATAAATGTGCATTTCATTTTTTATAAATGTTTTTCTTGACCTGAGATTCATTGTGTGTAAAATTGTGTCATAATTCTTTCGATCTTATAAAAATGTTCATCCATTTATTCGAATTATTGTTCGCCATTTCCAATTGTAAAAAACGAAATTTCGCAACCTCAGTCATAACATTATCCATTTTCATTTTAATAGTGTGTATTTTGATAAATTTCTAATTAAATTAGATTAAATCTTTCTACACTTAGAAAAATATTGATCCATCCATAGTCGTTAATCTACTACAATCTCTATTCCTATTCAAGAAAACAATTTCGCAAGAAAGAATAATTCATGTATAATGTTGATATGAAGCTCTCTGATTGGTTGAAAGTCTAAGTGTTAAACCACAAGCCAAAGTTAGAGGGAATTATACTAGCCAATCATAACCCAGGTCATTATGTAATTACTTAAAGGCAAAAATAAAAATACATTTTCATTCTTGTTTAAACACAATATTGAGAAAGCAAAATATTATTTCAAATTTTATATATATATTATCACTTGAAAAAGGTAAAAGAACGAATTTATTCTATGAATACCATGTTTTAAAATAGACTTGACAAAAATGTCCAACACTGAATTCATTCACGTGGCCTAAGTTCTAATTCTTATATAACACATAATCACAGTTACAGAATCTTATATATTCAGGTTTCTCAGATCGACAGCTAAAAGATGTTGATATTTTACATGATCATACAGCTGATCTTTATATCTGCAGCTTTGAGTAGAAAGAGGAATAAAATATTGAGCAGGACGTCTCGTAAGTATTAGAAGTTTGTTTATGCATTTAGTGTTTATTGTTTATCATATTGTGTTTATTTCTTTGTAGATGTAGAAATAGTTTTAGTTAGTCTTTAGTGTGTAGTTGTTATCATGTTATGATATAATATGTCAATTAAAGTTATATATAATATATATAGGTTATTTCATGCTTGATTTTCAATATGAATTTTATTCCAGGGTAATATGATATTGACTGAGGGAAATATGATATTGACTGAACGAGCGTAGCGAGTGAGTGTCAATACAATATTTACCAAATTTGAAAAATGAAAATTATTTTTAAACCCAAAAATTTGAAATGAAAATATTTGGAAAAAATGAAAATTTTTGAAAAAATGAAAAATTGTTTTTTTTAAAATGAACCTTTTTTGAAAAAATAGGGACAACATGATTTTTCGAGTATATATTTTTTTCCAGGGACAATATGATTTTTCGAGTATATATGATTTTAAGAGGGATAATATGATTTTATTTCCCAGGGAAAACAGTAGTATTATGGAATAATGTACTTTATTCCATAGTTAGCATGATATTCATTGGATAACATGTCAAAATAAAAATGGTATTTTTGTAATCAGTGGTAAAATATGATATTTTTTGGACAAATTTTCACTTAACCATAGCATATGGTGTTTAAGCCATGACATACAGCGCCGTATGCTATGAATTATGGATTTTTGCTACTTCAGACTCAAAACGAGGCTAAGTGTCAACATCGCCGGATCGTTTGGAAAATTCAAATTAAATCACTTAATTTCTGATGATTCTGATGATGACTTTAACTATGGAATAAAAAGAACATCCTATGATTTACTAGTGATATGATTTTAATCCACTCATGGATATTGATATCTGCACTCTCTCGCTATGCTCGCTCGTGCAGATATCATATCCATTCGCGAATAAAAATCATGTCACTCATAAATCATAGGATATCCTCTATTTACACCATGGTCAGAGCAATATCAGGTACACAACATCAGGTGATGTTTATCAGGTGATAAGTCACATATTTGAGATAGGGATGATATTGGAATTAACGGGATGATATCAGGGATGATATTGGAATTAACGGGATGATATCAGGGATGATATTGGAATTAACGGGATGATATCAGGGATGATATTGAAATTAACGGGATGATATCAGGGATGATATTGGAATTAACGGGATGATATCAGGGATGATATTGGAATTAACGGGATGATATCAGGGATGATATTGGAATTAACAGGATGATATCAGGGATGATATTGGAATTAACGGGATGATATCAGATTTGATATCGATATAACACCGCTAATTCTGATATCATCCCGCCCGGGGAAATCTTTTGAGACTTTCTTTCGTTTTTTTTTCACATTCACTTCATCTACTAATTTCCAAATGACATTTTTATGTTTTTGTCAGTGATAATATGAAATACATGTAACTTTAATATTTCCAAGAATAATTCATTGTTTTCTCGTCAAACAGATGGTTTTTGCGGTATATACAACATTTACAGAGAAATGACAGAGATACATGTTCATTGTTTTAGTTTTATGGAATAAAGTATGGTATTGTAGAACCTATATCTCAATACCTCTATAATTTAAACACTTGATCATGTTCAATATATTGCCTCTCAAAAGATCTGTGATATCTTCTCCATATCAACATTTATAGAGAAGTGACGGATAAATATTCATTGTTTTAGTTTTTATGGAATAAAGTATGGTATTGTAAAACCTATATCTCAATACCTCTATAATTTGAACACTTGATCATGTTCAATATATTGCCTCTCAAAAGATCTGTGATACCTTCTCCATATCAACATTTATAGAGAAATGACAAGATAAATGTTCATTGTTTTAGTTTTTATGGAATAAAGTATGGTATTGTAGAACCTATATCTCAATACCTCTATAATTTGAACACTTGATCATGTTCAATATATTGCCTCTCAAAAGATCTGTGATACCTTCTCCATATCAACATGTACAGAGAAATGACAGATAAATGTTCATTGTTTTAGTTTTATGGAATAAAGTATGGTATTGTAAAGCCTATATCTCAATACCTCTATAATTTGAACACTTGATCATGTTCAATATATTGCCTCTCAAAAGATCTGTGATACCTTCTCCATATCAACATTTATAGAGAAATGACAAGATAAATGTTCATTGTTTTAGTTTTTATGGAATAAAGTATGGTATTGTAGAACCTATATCTCAATACCTCTATAATTTGAACACTTGATCATGTTCAATATATTGCCTCTCAAAAGATCTGTGATACCTTCTCCATATCAACATTTAGAGAGAAATGATGGATGTTCATTGTTTTAGTTTTTATGGAATAAAGTATGGTATTGTAGAACCTATATCTCAATACCTCTATAATTTAAACACTTGATCATGTTCAATATATTGCCTCTCAAAAGATCTGTGATACCTTCTCCATATCAACATTTATAGAGAAATGACGGATAAATATTCATTGTTTTAGTTTTTATGGAATAAAGTATGGTTTTGTAAAACCTATATCTCAATACCTCTATAATTTGAACACTTGATCATGTTCAATATATTGCCTCTCAAATGATCTGTGATACCTTCTCCATATTAACATTTATAGAGATATAACAAGATAAATGTTCATTGTTTTAGTTTTCATGGAATGGAATAAAGTATCGTAAAACCATTATCTCAACAGCTACTAATATGAACAGTTCAGAATGTGAATGCTTTTAAAATCTGCCATATACTCCCAAGTTAAATGAGCCAAAAACCTGGAAATATGAACACACACCCATTTAAACACTTTTTCCAGGTCTCAAAGTGACATTCGTGTTAGAGAGGTTCTACTTTGAACTTAAGGATGTTTTAGATATCGCATATAAAATAAAAATGAAATGACAAGAGCCAAAATTGTTCTAAAATTGAAGAAAAAATAATTCAAAATGTTGCTCTTACAGCTGATTCTTCATTTAACATTCTTTATTCATAATTTGGTTATCCTAAAACACAACCCAATTTATATTTTCTAGGATGCAATCAGGATAACAAAAGATATCTTGGTTTACGTGAGTTACAAAAATTACCGCTGGAATATTACGAGTGTGTCAACTCACGATACGTAAAACGAAAATGCCCCAGGGGCCTAGCAGTTGGGAACGACTTCATTGCTTTAGCGCAAAAAGGAATGGCAAGCCGGGAATATCCATGTACGGTGAACCTGTGCATCAAGGAATATAAAAAGTGTGAAGATATGGTCTGGTGTCCTGTTTATGAGCAATGCGATCCAAATAATCTTCCAGTCTTCCCAGCAGGAGTTTTTGGAGAGGATCCAGGTATCACTATTTTTTCAAATTACAATTATGAGGATAACAATTTTTTTTTTTTGATAACAAAATTTATTGTATGATAGGAATGCTTTGAAGTTTACCATGCTAAAATTTCATGAACAATTATTGAAAATTGAAAAATTATCAAAAAAGAGGAATGACTTGTACTGGAATGCCGTTAGAGAAAAATCGGAGATAACAAATTTGGGACTGAGAAAAAGTATTTACATAAAGGTGTCTAGATTAGAGAGGTGTTCAGATATACAGGTTTCATTTTATTTCATATTTTCTTTTAAAAGTAACATCCAAGATAAAAGAGAGATTTGGCATGTTTATAAATCCCTTCTGTTTATAGCTTTTGAGACTGTACTATGTAGTTATGACATGATTATTTGCCTAGCATCAGTGATAATAACCCAGATTCAAGTTGGTAGTTACCAGTTTCACCACCAGGTGGCTAATTTGGTTTAAATTGAACTTATTTGAGGGAACTTTCTACTATATCTGCTATCTGCTATGTTACAGGTTCATAGATCTTGATTGTTCCAATTTCAGGAGTCTTTAAGTTCTCACGCGGTACTAACTTTGACTGTTAATTTGAATTTTTGACCTTACAGATGTTTGAAAATCAAGGATTGCGAGTCTCATTCAAAGCATAACAAAAATGCCTTTCCGTTGGTACATTAATCTATTATACAGAGTCCTTACTTTCATCGGCATTTGGGTCCCCAGCTGTGAGAAGGGCTTCTCACAGCTGGGGACCAAAACGCTGCTCAAACGAGGGACTCGTACGAGGGTACAATAAAGCAATGCACCAACAGAAAGACAATTTTGTTTTGATTTGAATGGAACAAGTTTGAAGAAAAGCAGTGCAGTGTGAGACTCACAATCCTTAAATTTCAAACATCTGTGAGGTCATAAATTCAAATTAACGGTCAAAGTTAGTACCGCGTGGTTCTATGGATTAGACCTTTCAGATGCAAAAGTGATACTACTAAGAAGAATTTTGATTTTCACAATTTCTGGAGTCTTAAAGTTCTGTGGATTGGACGTTTGAAATGCAAGGGACACTATTGTTGTTTTTTACTATTTCAGGAGTCTTAAAGTTCTGTGGACTGGATCTTGTAGTTGCCATAGACATCAGTTGTTCAATCTCCAAGGCAAACAAAACAACAATCAAAGATTTCATGAGAGACTTAATAAATAAATTTTCGATAAGTCCGACACAAACTAAAATCGGAGGTCTGACGTTTGGGCAAGAGACACACAATATACAAACTCTTAGCCAAGGTAGAAACAAAGCATTTACGAGACGTAACTTTGCTAAAATGGTGACAGGTGAAGGGAAATGCATAACAGGGACTGATAAAGCGTTACAGGATGTAAGGGACATATACTTTCAACGCAACCAAGGAGAAAGGGAAGAGTCTGATAATGTATTGATTGTTATGACAGATGGTCAGATTCACTACGGTCGGGAGGACAGACGGCAAAGAGCAGTGCAGAGAGTTAAGATACTCGCAGAAGAACTGAGAACGAACATGAACGTTGAAATATACACGATTGCATTACCGAGTGACAAGCTTTCACGAAACTATGATACTAACAGTGAGAAATATGCCAAACAAGAAGAGATGAAAAAAGAGGCGGAGCAACAATGGTTAGACATGGCGGGTAATGAAACAAATGTTTTTTCCCTTGAGAGATTCGAAGAGTTAGGGGACACTCTTGTCCACATTGCGCAATCAAATTGCAAAACTGTAACAAGAAGAAATGAACTTGACTATTATGAAAATCAATGATCAATTTAACAGCAGGAAAATAGAAATATACTTTAATATCTGCAACTTAAATTTCTGTCTTGTCATATTGATGGAAAACAACTCTTTCAATGTCTGCATGGTTAAGACCGATTACACTTCTCTTTGAATTCATTCAACTTTGCTTCTTTGAGAGCTTCTGCTTCACTTGTTCAGTGAACTCATCGAGCCTTTCGGAGTTTGTCGTCAAATAAAGGATGACTTTCTATATCTGGTCTTTTCCTCTGACATAAGCTCAGCAGTTTATTAAGCTAGCTGATTGATTGAGAAAAGGTCAGCGCAGTAGGTTTGAAATGATTTATGACCCAGGCTGTCACATCACGGGTCTTGAGGGGGGAGGGGGTGAGGCTGCTAAAATGTAATAATAATATACTAATAGTCTTTAACAGGCATTCAAAGTTAAACATATGTTTCACATCACCTCATTCCTGCAATTTAGATAATTTCTTAGACAACAAACAAAAAATATATGAAAAGGAGATCAATTTCAATTTCAGCTTCAGTTTTGTGTCTTCATTGAAAAAAATTTGTGAACCTACAGTGTTTGTCATTTGATCTGTTGAATATCATAAATGTAACAAGTGAAGGTTTTGTTTTTTATTTCTTTGTTTTTCAACTCCCACACTCCTAAGAAATGGCCTCTCAACAGGACGTTAAACAGATTATTAACTTTGAATGGCCTAATTAAAAAAACAATACCTACTGTCTTCCATACAATTAAGCCCTCTCTTTACAATTAAGCCCTCTCTTAAAGGGACACCAGTTTACAAACAAGAACACAAATGTGTACAAAATGTCCCCACCAAGTGGTGATCCCGTGAAATGGTTATCCTGAAAATGAGTAGACCAGACTTTACCAACACAATTTGAGGACGGAAAATCCAAAGTGGCCACCTTAAAATTTACCCAGAATGCCAAAAATTTAGTCAGTTCTAGATTTTCATACTAAGAACCACCCCTGAAATTGATCCGTCACACAGTTAACCAGAAAACATGTAAACAAGACTTTACAGACAAGATTTCAGGATGAAAAATCCAAAATGGCTGCCTTGACATTTACCAAGAATGTCAAAAAACTAATCTGTTTGTAGATTTTCATACTAAGAATCATCCCTGAAAATATAAAATTGATCTACCAAACGGTTCACCTGAAAACGGGTAGACAAGACTTTAGAGACAAGATTTTAGGACAGAAAATCCAAAATGGCTGCCTTAACATTTACGCAGAATGCAAAAAAAGTAATCAGATGTAGATTTTCATACAAAGAATCATCCCTGAAAATTTGAAATTGATCTATCAAACCGTTCTCCTAAAAACGTGTAGACAAGACTTTACAGGCAAGATTTTAAGACGGAAAATCCAAAATGGCTGCCTTGACATTTACCCAGAATGCAAAAAAACTAATCAGTTCTAGATTTTCATACTAAGAATCATTCCTGAAAATTTGAAATTGATCTACGAAACAGTTCACCTGAAAACGAGTAGACAAGACTTTACAGACAAGATTTTAGGACGGAAAATCCAAAATGGCTGCCTTGACATTTACCCAGAATGCCAAAAAACTAATGAGATCTAGATTTTTATACTAAGAATCATCCCTGAAAATTTGAAATTGATCCACCAAACGGTTCACCTGAAAACGCACAGACAAGACTTCACAGACAAGATTTTAGGACCGAAAAATCCAAAATGGCCGACAATAAAAAAGTCCTTATGAGTTTTTGCTGATTTCTTTTTACAAAATTATCACATATAACTACTGTTAACAATAAAGTAGGCTTTTACAGCAAAGTACATCTGAAATTATTTATAAAGCTACTAAATAGTTAAAGTATGAAAACTCAAAAACACCATTCAATATGATACAAAGTATTATCGCGCGCTAACTTTTCTTAAGACATTCAAAATGGCTGACAAGACTGAGCTAGCAGGTCCAAAACCTAATCAGATCTAGAATGAAGTGAGCTGAACAAGATGTTAAAGTTTTAAAAGCAACTGTGAAGCAGTTTTTCTTAAAGTTTGCAGACAAGGATTTTAGCATTTGACTTCAAAATGGCCGACAGGAAGTAGGTATCGAGTTAATTTTTTTTCATCCACATCTGTATGCACTCATAAGTTATTTCTGAAAATTTGAAGGTGATATCTGTAGCGGTTTTGGAGAAAACTGCCGGACGTACGGACAGACAGACGGACAGACAGACGGACGCGCCTAGGCCGACAATATGGCCCCACACTATGTGGTGGGGACATAAAAAGCATTAAGACAAACACAAGGTGTTCCATATATAGACAGGCTCTACTGTCAATTCTGCTATTTCTAATTTTAGAGTACAAATTACCGGCACATTAATGAGTACAATACAATAGAGGTGTATGCGATAGTTCAGAATGACAACAATATTCTCACCTTCCCTGTTGAAGAGCTCCAATTCCAGGAACAGATTATTTACATCCGGATTTTTCCCCATTGAAATATACTCCGATTTTGAATACATCACTTCAACATTATTTGACATTCCTCTTCACGGATATTTGCACAATCGATAAAAATATAGGTCCTTATGGCAATCTGCAAAAAGTTTTCACGAATATTTTTCAAAACGATAATCACAGACTTAGTTCCCGGAAGCTGAGACTCAATGACTCGATATGAAAAAGAAGCAAGTTCGCATGTATATAACGATATGTTTGACTTATATCAATTGTGAGGGTTGTAACTTGAAATTAGTATGACCTTTATCGTCCCGACAATACGCAAAAACATGGTTTTAAGGTTGGGAGAATTTGGTTTAATCAACGGACCAATGAAAATTTGTCCCACTTGAAGTGATGCATTGCGGGAGATATTTATGTTAATGACCATGTTTTCGTCTATCGTGTGTATACTGATAGAGTGTTATTTTTTTTCAAACTTGCGTTATCCCACAATCCCACAATAACAGGGCCATCTATCTTACTCACTAAAATCAAATAACTTCATTATTTATCCATTTATTCTCATAACAATTTATGAGTTTGTTTACGAACTGGTCGTGGTGACATATGAATGCATAAATACAACAGTTTTATTTCTTGTTGTCTATTTCAATATCTTATCAATTTATGACATCTTAAATTATGATTTCTGCTTGAAAATTCAACAAATATGCAGGATTTATCTTTTTATGAGAAAGTTCACAAATAAGTTGCTGAATAGCGCATCGTACGAGATTTATACGAGATTTATCTAATAAGAAAAAGGCACAACATTACCAGCTTGCATTTTTTGCTATTAATGAAGCAGTGGGTATCCACATCCTCCGATCACAGGGCTTCAAAATATAGAATATATTCTTTCTTTTTACCCCCTGCGATAAGCAGTTACCATTTCCCCGATTAAGAACTCCCAATCTGATTGGCTGTCGCAACACAGAAATCATGTATAGGCCATTGGGCATAATTAGATCACGTGATACGGTTAAATCGGGCGATTCCAAATTGGAACGACAGAAATCATGTATAGGCCATTGGGCATAATTAGATCACGTGATACGGTTAAATCGGGCGATTCCAAATTGGTTATAGCAGGGGGAAGAAGAAGGTACGGATTCTGGACACCTGCTTAGGAGGATAGGTATCCAATGACCTGTAAAAACTTGTTGGTTATATCATCATCAGTATGTTGTTGCTTTTTTTTAAAAAAATGAGTTACAAAATATTAAAAAATAATCGAAATCGAAACAATACAGTAAATGGGAGGGTTTAAATAACTAAACGTTCAATATCTACAAGAAAGGTTGACAATCATGATTATTAATATCTAACAAAGAATTTGACTTAGTGTGAGCAACACACAGGAAAAGCATAAACAGTTGAGATATGTCGATATTGCAATCTACGAGTGTCAATATATAAAGGTACATATAAGTTTTATGATAGAAAGATGAAGGAAGATTGATAGATGAGTCAAGATAGGAGATTAAAATCTGTAAACTGATCAAAAATCTTTAAAATGGAACATCTCTGCTAGTAAGACACTTTTCAGAGTCCCAAGATCAACTAGCTTAATGTTAAATGAACCTCTATAAGTGGAACTCCTTCCATGTGGAACACTTCAGAGTCCCAAGATCAACTGACTTTATGATAAATGAACCTCTATAAGTAAAACACCTCCCAAGTGGAACACTTTTCAGAGTCCCAAGATCAACTAGCTTATTGTTAAATGAACCTCTATAAGTGGAACACCTCCCAAGTGGAACACTTTTCAGAGTCCTAAGACCAACTGACTTAATGTTAAATGAACTTCTAGAAGTGGAACACATCTGTTAGTAGAACACTTTTCAGAGTCCCAAGACCAACTGGCTTAATGTTAAATGAAAATGTTAATGTTAAATTATAAGTGCAACTCCTCTCAAGTGGAACACATTTCAGAGGGAAAGAACCCGGATGTAGACGAAGTTGTACCATACATGAGAGCTCTTCGAACGGGAGGTAGCTAAAATGAACTAAGCTAAACGTTATCGCGTATTGGTATACTGGAACATCTTCCAAAATGGAACACCTTCCAATTGAAACACCTTCCATATGAAACACCTTCCACTTGAAACACGTTCCAAATAGAATACTTTCCACATGGAACACTTTCCAATATCCTAGATGCGAGTAGAAATAATCTTGATTAATGCCATTAAAAATTAAAAATTACATCTAGAAATATGGTTTTGAAGAGTTAATCAACTCTAAAAATTTAATTTTCTTTGAAAATGTGACTTTTAGGTCGGGGAGATTCCCTATAGCCCCCATGTTGTAAAATCACAAAAATGGAAATATCTTTTCTTGTGTAGGGCAGATAATTTTTCTTTTACAGGACATATTTTAATTTGTATAACTATCAGATACATACGGGTAATATGAAAAGTGAACCACTAAAACTGATGAATATTCAAGTTTAATGGAATTTTGTAATACCCTGCCATGTTATTTCCCCTGATTCAGCCACCTGGTGGCGAAACTGGTAACTACCTACTCGCATCTGAGTAATTGGACCAACTGCCAAACTTCCAACGTGGACCACTATTTTGAAGTCCCAGATGCTTGACTTACATAGGTTTTAGTGTTTGCTTATTTCTCATGATTTTTACGAGTGTAAATTATGGGTGTAAAATGATTTTCAGACTGCTGTAAGATCGTGTAAGAAGTGGCAGTGTTCTCCCCAGGATTTCTTTGTGTGGAGGATTGTGTTTAGTATTTCATAATTTTTGTGCAATCTTTTATGATTTTGTGATTTTTTGAGCAGCATTTCACGGTTTTGTGATTTTTGTGCAACATTATAAAATTTTCTAATGGCATTGAGTAGCATTTTGGTTTTATAAAATACATAGAGGTGCACCTCTCTGAGCTGCACCTCAGAGATTTCAATGTTAGGAGAGCAGAGTGAGTACAGTACCCCCTTGCCTCAAAATTAGACAGATCTCTAGTTTAACTACCTAATCTCACTGTTAAAACACGACAAGAACATGAATGTCACTGGGGGCCCAGAAAGAGGGAGAGGGACGCGAAACAAATTCAGCATTAGGCTGAACAGTGGAATACTACAATGACATCATTACTAATCATGTACGATGCATTTAAAGATAATTCACTTTGAAAAATATTTAAATAAACCAGCAAATAAGGATGTGTGTTAAAGTGTATAATATCATTCATTATCTTGTTTTCTTATTTCAATTTAATATTGATTTGTTTTGTAGCAACGGTTTATTAGGTTCAGATGGATCACCATAAAATACATTAATGTGAATTTAATGGCATGAATCAGAACAGAAAAGCTATAAACAGTGCATAAAATAGCCATTAATGAAAATAAATATGTTACACGCTGAATCGTTTCCGTTTCTCCAGCCTTATTGGAATGTGAATGAATTGCCCTATTTTTCTCTTTATCTATTTTTTTCTACTTTATTTGCATTTCAAATCATTATACCACCATTCTTTAGCAATTACCTTTTTCAAATTTGAATTCCCGATTTTCTTGCATTTCTATACAATTTAGAGTGTTAGCTACATGTCTGTTTACTTTATTCCTTGCTTATTTCACTCTATTTCTCTAAAAAAATTGAATGAAGTGTCTGATTTTCTTGCATTTCCATACAATTTAGAGTGTTGACTACATGTCTGTTTAATTTATTCCATGCTGATTCCTCTCATTTCTCTCTAAAATTTGAATGAAGTGTCTGATTTTCTTGCATTTCTATACAATTTAGAGTGTTGACTACACTTCTGTTTATTTTATTCCATGCTGATTCCTCTCATTTCTATCTAAAATTTGAATGAAGTGTTTGATTTCCTTACATTTTTGTACAATTTAGAGTGTTGACTACACTTCTGTTTATTTTATTCCATGCTGATTCCTCTCATTTCTCTCTAAAATTTGAATGAAGTATCAGTTTTTCTTGCATTTTTATACAATTTAGAGTGTTGGCTACATGTCTGTTTACTTTATTCCTTGCTGATTCCAGATTTTCTAATGTACAAGACTAATATTCCGAGGGATGTATATTTAATTTATCTTATAAATTCTTGCCTATCAAAATTAATGCATTTCTGCCACCGCATTGATTTTATTACACCATCATGATTTTATTACACCATCATGATTTCATTACACCATTACAGTGATTTTTAGTCCACCCGTGTAGCTCAGCTGTAGCGCATGTACATTTTACGCAACAGGTCCCGGATTCGATCCCCGGTTCAGGCAAGACTAAATTTGCTTGTTTGCGTGAAGCACTTCAGGGTGTTTGACTGAGTGGTCCGCAACTCGTACAAAAGGCTTTGGTGTGTACTTGTATGTCTATGTATAAGTGCACATTTAAAGAACACAAGGTTCCTTCAAGGAGGGGTTTCTAGGTATATCTTCCAGGTTAATTACGTAAATTATGACCGTATATATACGGGATATACCCAAGAGGAATTGCTCACCTTCATTGGTGGTAAACAAAATACAATACAATACAATACACCATCATGATGAATCAGGAAATGTATGTATGGCACATACTTGTGTACATGTAGCTAGTAGTTATCTTGTTCCAACACCATCCTCTTCGTTTCTGGTCTTGGAGGGGATCCATTGAAACACACAGTATTTTTCAAAAGTCTAAATTTAACGGCGTTAGGAACGCATATATTTCTTACCTCTATCGACTCTTAACACCAAAAGAAATGTTCTCCCCAAGCCAGAAAAGACGCGGCTGTCTCAAATTGCAGTAATATACACTTCAATCTTCGAGTCGACCAGTATAATTCAGCTTATTTCAAAATGTCTGCCGTGAACATTTCATCCAGAGCCTACATTTCAATCTCTTTTTCCCGGGAACATTATCCTTCAAACTTGAGAAATTAGTTCGCTCAATTAATACGGAATCAAGTCAAGCAACATTGATAAATCGTGAGTAACGATGTATTTGAATGATTTCACTGGATATTGCTGTTGTATTTGACGTGCTGTTAGGTAAAATGCAAGGAAATTCCCTCGGCTGATCGGTGTCAGCCAACGCTGAATGTTTTCTTCATTCATATATTACTACGCATCATGTAGGTTAAAATAGTCCGAAAGTGACGTCATCAAATTCATGGATGGTATGGTATGGTATGGTATGGTTCTTTATTTCCTCCAATTTGGAGAGCAAATTAATACAAAAGACAAATTATTAAATTACAATATATACATTAGATACAATAGATACAAAATAACAATATGTGGCGAAATGAGTAAGGCAAGGTAATATTTGCTTACGACGTGAATTCTTTAAGCATAGCGCTTATTTGATTGGAACTAAGGTTAATGAATTGTTGCCATTCAGCAAAATCGTAATTCTGTAGTACATCTGTGCGACTACCCAATAAACATTCTACTAAGACATCATCGTCAGAGTTTAAGATGTTAATTGAGTCTTCAACAGGTAGAAGATTAACAATCTTTTCAAAAAATATATCTCTTGTTGCACTTAGAGATGAACATTCTAAAATGAAGTGTTTTACAATGTCGTTTGTTGTTTTGGCACAGGCTAGGCAATACTGCTCTTCTTGAGTAGAGAGTACCATGAGATATAATAATTGGGCATATTCCCATAATCTGGAGGGATCCATTATCCCAAGTTTCCAATGAATAATTGGCTCATAGTCTACGTGGGTGTTAGCAAACCTGAGGTATTTAGAATCTTGGCTTAAATCATGTACCCATTGACGTTTTTGTTGAGTTTGAATTTCTTCTATAACAACAAATTTCCAGATATCCTTGCTCTGAATGTATATGCCATGGTCAATGTAGTTTGTAATTGTTTCAAACAAGGCAGGAAGGTTTAGATTTTTAAGGTCTTGTAAAAAGCCTTTGTTCACTTTAAATTGACATTCTCTAGATATTAAGCTACTGAGCCTACATAAAAACATTTGTTTTTGTGTTGAATTCCTATTGGATCTTAACAATCTCCCTAGAAAAAGGAATTTCATTTTACTGATAAAGGAACTTATTGTCCATATTCCCATACTGCTAATAGCCATTACACTAGGTGTTCTCTTTTCAAAACCTTGAAAGCGCTTCACAACGTATTTTTGAGCAATTTCCATTTCATTCATTTCTGTTTTGGATATGTCGTACCATAACTCGGCACCATAGAATGCTGAAGGCATTATAAAACGCTTCCAAATGTTAGAACTTGTGATTGGGTTAAGCCCGTATTTATACATTCCAATACCACACAGAGAGTTAAATATTTTCCTAGCCTTAATACATGCATCTGTTGTATTAGGTTTCGAGGCTAATTTCTTGTCTAAAGTGCTTCCAACATAAGTCACTTGTGACTTGGTTGGCAAAGGTTCTCCACCCAAGTTCCAGTATGGTATTTCGGATGTAAGAATACTCTTTCCAAAGATTATAATGGCACTTTTACATGGTTCTTGTAAGCCAGAGTGGTAGACTAGACGCCACTTACAACTATAGGTAAACACAATATCTAATAGATGCTGTAACCCATTGGGAGTACTAGACAATACTGTTGTATCATCTGCTACCAGAACAGCAGGTATAATAAGATCATTAGCTAAACGTGCACCATATGGAGATTCGCAGAGTTCTAAGATTAGCTCATCTATGAATATCATGAACCACCACGATGAGCAAATTCGGCCTTGACCACATCCTTGATCGACAAGGAATTCTCGAGAATAATTCCCATCATATAAAACTCTTGCAGTAGTATTGCTATAACTCTGGACAATAAGTCTCCAAGATTTTGAGTTGATTCCTAATCGAAATAATTTCACAAAAAGCCCTGTTCTCCAGAGATAATCATAGGCCCGAACATTATCTAGGAACCCTGCGAATATGGTGGTGTTTCGTTCATTAAAATGTAAAATAGTTTCCTTTAAGACGTAAGTAGCCATTTGGCTGCCACCTCCTTTACTTGTAGCAAATTGTAAGCTATGGGGTGTATTCATTTTGTCGAGAATAAACTTATTTCGATCAAGTATGATATAGTCCCAGATTTTACTAATCACCGTTGTTAGAGTTAAACCACGGTAGTTAGATTGAGAGCGTTTGTCTTTTTTCTTACCTTTGTGCAATGATATGATAGTGCCAATCTTATGGTTGGGGGGTATACACTCAAGATTGATCATCTTGTTGAATAAGTCAGTAATTACCCTGATAAGTAAGCTACCACCGTGCTTAAAATGCTCATTGCACACAAGGTCATAACTGGGTGCTTTACCACATGCAAATCCAGATATGACGTCATATACGTCTTGTGATGTAATGGGTGAAGAGAGAGCGTTTTCCCTATTATGATATGAATCTTTTTGACATTGAGCAAATTCACGTTCAATTTCTTGTTGAAATGTATTGTTAAAGTGAGGAAACTCAGCAGGTGTTCCCAATTGCTCATAATAGTTTGCCCAAGCTTCACGCACAGCATCAGGATCACGAATGATTTCATTGTTTATTAGCAATTCATGGGTCTCTTTTTTGAGCCTCTTAGAGTTCCTAACATATTTATAAAAATCGCCAATTTCAAGCTCAGCAGCTTGTTCAATTTTAGAAAAGTTTTCCCGTTCATAGTTTAATTTGGCTTTCCTGAGCTCGCTCCTAAATAATCTTTTGGCATTTTTATAATTCCTAAAGAATATATTGGTAGCGTCTCTTGTTTTGCCTTGATTAACCCATATAGACCTTGCGATTTTCATAGATTTGTGTAGGTTTTTAACGTTACCGTATTTCCAAAAAGGATTCAGGAAGTGTTTAAAAGTTGTCTTAGGAATAGTTCTATCAGCAGATGTTCTCAAGCACATAGCTATTTCATCAGTGAGAGTTGAGATATCGTTTTCACATGTTGCTGATTTTATATCAATATGTTTGAGACCATCTCTTACCAGATTACGGTAGTTAGAAATATCATTTGCAGTTGCCAAATTCCATTTGGTTATAGGAACTGGGCAAAGCTTAAATAGGTGGCCAAACGGCGCTACATTTAGTTCCATAAAAATAGGGCTGTGGTTGGATACGTTGAGTTCGTGGTCGTCTATAACTGCACAACTCTTAACCAAGTCATACTTTGTTTGTGGTAGCATGATGAAGTCAAGACATGTCTTGTGACTATAGTCACTACTACAATATGTATAAATAGGACCTGTGGTTCGACTCTGCATGTTAACACAAACAAAACCTGAGTTTTCTATAAATTGCTCAACATAATTCCCTCGATCGTTTATCTTACCGATGTGCCTTGGGCCTAATTTGGAGGACAGATGGCAGTTAAAGTCACCACAGAGTATAACAGTACCCTTGCTAGAAAGTTCATCACAGATATTTTGTAATTCGCATAAGTATTCTTTATATGTCAATATTGAAATATTACTGCATGGAAGATATACACCTATTAAATATACTAATTCAGCTGGAAAGCTAATCTGTATCGCACAAATCCTGTCGCTATTGTAATTTAAAACAGAGATCTGTTTGAGATTTTTGCGAAACAAAATAGCTACACCGCCTTTACCGCGATATCTTCTAGCAGAATCTATTGATAAATCATTATCACATACAGCAACGCTGTCAAAATCAGAATCAATAGAATTAATATACTGAATGTTGTCTGGATACAACCAGTGTTCTTGAAGAATACATATATCTATAAGTCGAAGCTTTTCACACAGATATGGTGTGCCGTGCATAATACCTTGAACATTCCATGACAATACTTTAAGAGTTGTCAATGACATTACGTAATATGTGAGACAATAAATCAAATATAAAATAGTGTAAAGTGGGATTAATCCCCCCATAGTTTGTCGGGTGCTGGTCCATCATAGGATTCACTTTTAAGGTCTCTGGTTTGCCATTCCCTGCAATGAATGTGTGATGGCCAGAACTGGTCATCATCTAGCATGTAGTTATAGTCTCTAACGTCAACATTTATTCTGAGTGTGTACCATGCAGGATTGTATCGCGTCTGTTCATGATACTTGAGAGATCTCACAAATGTTATGTTCACATGTTTTTTACGAGCAAATGAAATTATTTTGTGTTTAATCTCGTTAAATGTAAGTTCAGTTGCTTGCACTCGTGATAGGACAAACCATTTGACTTTCGGCCGTTTTTTAAAGGGAACACCGCAGAATCCGTCAGCGCTTGTGGGTGGGGTTTGTTCTTGCAACGACTCATGACTTCTAACTGCCCGCATCCAAATGCCATTAAGCACAGGTTTGGGTGAAGTAATTCGTCGTTTCTGGGAGTAATCATCAGGCGATTGTGGCTGGCCTTTTGGACCACTGGTCGAATTGGAATGCACTCTAGTTGATGTTGCTCTGTCGTGTTGAAAATGGGAGTTGGGTGATGATACGGGTATCAGCGTATCTTTGGGGAGGGAACGTACTGTATGTTGGCCCTCTTCAGGTTTATTGACGTCAGAAGAGCAACGGGCCTTGTCGGTTTGTTCATGCTTGTTTAAAGGGTCATGGGAGTAAGCAGAGTCATTCGAGTCTTCGAGTTGGCCATGGTTAAACTCTGTGTCGTTACTCAGTTGTTCTGCTGATGGGCTATCTTGTGGAACGTTTGAAGCCCCTTGAGTTGTAGGTTTCGTGGCTGGTTTACGCGGAGCTTGGTTGGCGTGGAGTAGGGCAGGTTCACTTAGGCGACGTTGACTTGTCGTATCTTCAATGGTATTAGAAGCATCCGAAAGGTACCTGCTTCGGGAAGGGGGTATAGCAGGAATGGTAGATAACATGTGCTGTACTCTATTAATGAGATCTACATGTGCAGTATGTTCTATTTCAGTATTACTTTGGATTTTGTTAACAGTTTTGTTAATGTTTCCAAGTTTACCATCGATGTTTTTAAAGCGAGACAGTTGGTCTTTCAATTCAGTTATGATTATGTTTTTTTCATTCACGACCGTTTGTAAAAGCTTAAGTTCTATTTTAGCTTTGTATTCAGAGTTGCGTAGTTCTTGCTCCTTTTCTCTGAGGGACATGTTTTCCTTTCGAAGTTTAATAATTCTGTTGTTTTGATCAGTCAGAGTGTTAGACATTTCGTTACACGTCTCTTTAATGTTAAGCATATGCGACATCATAGTTTCCATCATTGAGAAATGTGATGAAGTGGTATCATGGGCACGTGATCGCGTAGACGGTGCGTCAGAATCCTGGGTGAGTGGGTTTTGGGACGCTTGTGTTGAGTCTCGATTAAAGGGGGTTTTGCTGAACACGGATGCAATTTCAGTCGAATTTCCTTCTATGAACTGGTATAGTGTGAAGCAATCACTCGCAAGTTTGTAGCGTCTATCTTCGCTTTTTCCTCCTTTGCGTTGAATAAGTTTAAATCTGGGACAATCCGCAGGCCTTAAGGACATTGCTTTTTCGAATAAAGCATCTCGAAATGACTCTACTGATATTCCTGGTTGGGCTAAAAGGCGTTCCGTGTAGACGTCTTTGGGTAATTCAGTGAGTAAGTCATACAAGTCTTCCCACGCTTTTTGTCCAGGGGGTATTTGACTGTTGGCTTCATCGTCACTGGTCGTGTCATCATTGTTAGTCACAGAGTAGTTTGAATCCATCAAAATAGATGTCGCCATAATTAATTGGTCGTGTTAAATGCCTGGTTTAGTGGTGTGCGAAACCGCATAATTGGCTTGGTGTGCAACGATTCATTTATGATTTGGGGTTGAATTTAGTCTATATTACTGGCCCACGTGAATTTTCGAGCATGACTCGTGGAAATTTCCTACACACTTTAGTCTATTAGATAGGCCCCTAAGATGGTATCAAAGAAATGATAGAGGTTCAGTTGATGGAAAATGTAAGAGTCAAATTACCGTATTTTCCATTGTGTTGCACTAAATATAAAATATCCACATTGGTCACTGTACTCTCCGATTTATTATCAGATATATCCAAATGATCTCGCTTCGCTTATATCGCAGGTATTGCACTTTTTCTTCAGAGCAAAACAGCAAAATTTAGAAACACGTCTACACCATTTTGCGCATGCGTACAAGACCGATATGTGTATATTACTGCGATTTGAGACAGCCGCAACTTTTCTGCCTTCAGAAGAATGTTTCTTGTGATGTTAAGAATCGATAGAGGTAAGAAATATGTGCGTAGCTATCGCCGATCTTTTGAAAAATAACATGCACTTCAATACATCCCCTGCAAGACTAGAACGTAGAGATAGTCTTGAACGAGATAAAGTGTCAGGGACCGCTGACAGATTACAATTTTGAACAAAAAATTGAATTACATTTTTGACTGTCTCAGTAAATTCTGAAATTGGTTGCCTAATCACATCCAACATGTGTTTTACAGACCTAAAACTCAATGTTTGCTATATATGTATCTTTTTTTCGTTAGTGGAATATCTTTCTCACCATGTAAACCAACAGGAAGTTTTTGAATAGGACTACCACCTGAATGGATGCACAGATTTGATGGGCTGACATTTGAGAAATTATAATATGAACTTTGTCAATTTTACATGTATCTCAACAGAGCAAAAAAGTAGATTGCTCTCCCCCTTAGGGATTTTGGACAAATTGTCAACTGACGTGGAAAAAATATAATTGACTTTATTATCGTTAAATGTGATAATCTCCCCAATATAACAAAATCTTTAATGCCAATGTCTTTTTTAGTGTGTTATTCATTAATGACACACTAATTCATTTCATAAATGTAATTCAACTTCATTTTTACACACCTGTTACGCTTTGAAACAATCCGTTAAATAAACAACAAAAATAGCTTACTGAGGCTGCTGGGTAATCAACGGCATTGCTTGCAGAGCTGCCTGGGCCACCATCACCATCTTTTGTGCTAATAATGCTACTCCCATATCCTTCAGAGGTACTTGACATCATTGGATATCCAGCTGAAGAGCTATTTCCACTTACACTCCCTGGGCCGATATTACGTACACTACCTGGGCCCCATGGGGTCTTCGACTGTGTATTAGTGGGCTGTGGCCCCCAGGAGGGTCTAGGACCTGGTTGCTGCCATGAAGCGGGTGGCTGTGGGGCAGAGGCAGGGGGTGGGGGACCAGCTCGACCTGCAAATCTAGCCCCACCCTGAGAATCCTGGGATTGTTGTGGTTTTCTTGGTGGAGTCCCTAAGAAACAAGTGAATCCGGATCAAAAATTAAATCCACAAAAGTTTGAGCTACATGGGTCAATCTCCAACTCAAATAAATCAATCCCCGACTCAAAAATAAATCCAGCCCAGACTCAAATAGATTAAACATTGACTCAAAAAAAAAATTCCCAGTATGCATAACAAGATAATCTCTGAAAGAAAAAAAAAAAAAAAGTAATTCAGGTCGAAAAACTCCACTCACCTCCGAGGGAGGGGAATTCCTCGGAGTCTCCTATATCAAGGCTGGAAGGGTTCCTAGTAGATCCAGTGGATTGTGTAGACCAGGCTGGTTCACTCACTGGGTAATATTCATCAGCATCTTCTTCACCATCATATTGACCTAGAATGTCATGAGGGTCATTTTTTCAAATGCAAAATGGAGTAAAAAATGGTTCAATTGACCTTTTGCGATCAGAATTCAGGTATTTTGTTTATGAATACTGTTGTCAGGTATTTCGTCTTATTGGTGTGACGTCATATAAAAAAATGATATTAGACATGATGGAGAGAGGGAATGGCGGACACGTGGCAGTTTTGTGCTAAAAATATTATCGTTTCTTTTATGGAAACCATGGGTCGGATATTTACCAGGTATGCCGATTTGACTAGAATATCTTTATATGTGTGAAGTTTCGGTGAAACTAATACTAAACATAAGCGCCCCCTGTTTTTTCAAAATCGGGGGCGCTTAACCGCTATCTAAATCATGTCAGTAAAATCTTAAACTTGGCATAAGCTTAGAATGAATGTTGATCTAGTTAAATCGAACACTTTTGTGAAAAATAAATCAATAAAGTACGAAATACAGAAGATAATCTCTCAAAATCAAACAGCTACAGCAATGTGGCCTAATTGTGACGTCACTGCAAGATAGAATCCATCCGATGATCGTACATCATCAATTGGCAAGTAATAACGTGCGTAGACATGTAGTGTACATTCAAATTTGAAAAGAAAAGCCAGAAATGCAGACACTTTATTCAAATTTAAGAGAGAAATGAGTAGAATAAGTACAAGCAGAAGGATTAAGTGACTCAAATTGTAGGTGTACCTAAATGCTGCTCTGCCTTTTGCTTCACTCTCTTTGAAACCATTTTATCCAAGACACCATATTCCGCAGGCTGCCCAACATGACCAGCTGCTGCCGCGGAGATTCCATGTGTTGCTTTGGGCTTTCCCCAGGGGGCATTCCCAAAACCACTTGTCATCGCTGAAATAGAGCATGATATATATCATTTTAAAATGAACACAAACAACTGTAAGAGAACAGCATTTGAATAGTTTGTTCTGGATATTTATATACATTTTCATCTTAATTCATTTCTTTTTCCTCTAAAAAGTATATTTTCGTCATCTTTCTAAACAGTTTCTGACTTCTGAGATCACAATATCATCTTAAAATAGTAAATCAGTAATGTAAAAAAATTAATCAGTAAATAAGTGACTCTGCTGTTAAAGCAACTTACATGGGAGATTCGGGCGTCTCATTGTTTGCTGGGGTTCTTCATCTTCCAGTGGTGGCTGCAAAGGAGGTGATATCCCATGATTCTCTTTGTTATCAAGCATTTATGTCTGAGGGACCCCTCAGACTGAACCAAAATGTAAATGTCTTTCTATCTTAAAATATCTAAATCAAAAAAGATCCAAAATTGCCCAAAATATCGTACTAAAAAGGTCCATGTTATATGAAAACAAGATGACAGGCCCGACCTGTGACAACATACCACTGAGTAATGACCAGAACATGTCCAAATTTAGAGATGTAAACGGGTCTTATTCAGTGCCATGTTGTCTCTCAGTGGGTCTGATTTGTACCCATGCAGTCACGTACCTTTTTAAGACGATAGTCAGTCGAAGCGAATGGTCCTGAGTTAGAGTTTGATTGGTTAATATTAGAATCAGCAGCTCTTCTATTGGCTGATGAAGGATTTGTGATCCATGAAGGCTGAGTTCCGAGGGCGGTAGGATCTACATGGTGAACTGGTTGAATGGAACGTGATGGGAGATGTCTATTTGGGATCAACTCAAAGTTATAAATAGCTGCCATTGCATCTGAGATCGAATAGCTGAAATAAAACAAATTAAAATATATCGAAAATTCTAATGATTTTGAACAATTTCGCTGGAACTAATCAAATGCCTAGAATCGAAGGAATGTCTCGCAAGGTGCAATACTGCATCATAAGTCATTCAACACATATTTTGAAAGATGAATATTACATTCATTAAAATCCACCAATCGTTAATATTTTGAAATTCAAATTTTTTTGAAACTCTTGACTTCTTTACAGAAAAACCATATGAAAGTTTACTTGGTTTTCACTTAAGCAGAACAAATGTCCATTTACAAGGGTTGTTCAAAAGGTTTTGCACAAATATATCTAATTATGAAAATAGAAGAAGGTCATCATATACTCAAACAGTCAAAAAAGCTGTATTCATCCTATTATATCACAGTGATTATGGTTCTAAGCACTCACCAATAACGTCTGCAGATTGCCAAAGCGCAAAATCTTGTTTCCTTTTCTTCATGCCATTCACATCTATAATCACAATGCAGACTTTATAAACATAATGTAGACCTTGTTAACATAATATAGACTTTATAAACATAATGTAGATATTGTAAACATAATGTAATGTAGATTTTGTAAACATAATGCATACTTTGTAAACATAAAGTACACTTTGTAAACATAATGTGAACTTTGTAAACATAATGTAAACTTTATAAACATAATGCTGATTTTACAACACAATGTAGACTATGTAAACATAATGTATACTTTGTAAACATAAAGTACACTTTGTAAACATAATGTGAACTTTGTAAACATAATGTGAACTTTGTAAACATAATGTGAACTTTGTAAACATAATGTGAACTTTGTAAACATAATGTGAACTTTGTAAACATAATGTGAACTTTGTAAACATAATGTGAACTTTGTAAACATAATGTGAACTTTGTAAACATAATGTGAACTTTGTAAACATAATGTGAACTTTGTAAACATAATGTGAACTTTGTAAACATAATAGGCAATGGGCAAGTGGTATAGAAAGGGAATTTCATATTAATTATATGGAAAGAAAGATTCCAATGTTTCAAATCATTTTAGGTAAGTCGATTTTTTCCGATGTAGAAACAAATCTCATTTACTCAATAATTTGGTAAAAATATTGTACATGTGAAATACTAGAAAATTCCAAGAGTATGATGACCTATCAAATACCTGTTAGCACTTTAATTTTAGAAGTCATTTCTCCAAGTAGGATTCATATAATTCTGATACTTCAAACTCTGATCAGGTTTCTCACTAGGCTTTTAGACTCCGGAGATTCTCGGGAGTCTAATGTCTTTAAACCCTCTTGCACCAGAGTCTAATAGCTTTCCTGGAGTCTTAAGTTTTTTTCCCCCGAGTCTAATTTTACATTTTTGTCAAATTACTTGTGGCAAAACTCTTGTGAAAATATATAAAACTAGATATACACAAGGAATAAAAACCTTTAAGAAATGTATATTGCGATTAAAATAGGAAGATAATCTTAAGTAGCATTTTGAATTTTGAATATGAATAGTATACTAATAGGATATCTCTGGTCTCACATGGGGGAGGAATAGTCGCGATACCGCAAATAATCCGGGGTCTAAAAATTTCCTGGTGAGAACCCTGCTGATTGTGTCTGATTTATTTAGAGTCCAATGCACAATAGTGTTCAAACACCAAATCATTAATTCAAATCTCAATTAAAAAATTTCTGGAAACTTAACAATGATGAAACATCATATCTTTTAAGATCAATATTTTATGGTACAGTGTATTTTCAAAACTTTAAATCTGAAGTAAATGAAGATTTGTGTTAAAATGAAAGTGATTAATTCTATTATGATCAGTAAAAATAATTTCTAATCCGCATTTTGACAAATGATCAATATTTATCAAAAAATATCAATATAATTGTATTTTTAAAATCCAAATCTCAAATAAAATAAGGTTAAAATCACATATTACAATTACAAAAAAAGCAAAGTAGAAACGGAATTACGGAAATACTCTTTAATTATCGATATTTTATCATGCTGAATTATTGGCTCACATGGCCTTTCTTTGTGACAAAAATGAAGTAACAGTTGATCTGATTCTTAAAATGCAATAAGTTTCAAAGGTAGAATTGATCTGAATTAACTTCAAAAACGGAAAAGATTTCACATGAAATCTATTCTTCGGACCAAGAATAAAACACACTGGTTTATCAAATAACTTCCCCGATTTCCCCTAGTAGTACTGCCCTCTATTATAGCTACACAAAATGGTATTTGTTGATTAATTATTCCATATCACTTTTTTAATCCTTTTAACGCGACAATAACCTGCCCCACCCTACCCAAACTCACCAACTTGATTTTATAATAACATCAAAACAGTATTATCAATCATAATGAAAATTTGTAGAATAATCAAAATGTCTCTAAGGAACATTCACTGAAAATTTCATGGAAAAATTTCAATTATTGAAAAAATTTGAGCATATAGTGCATTACTTCTGGGACAACCCTTGTACTCTTTCAAATCAGCCTTTAATTTATCTCAACAATTGAGTTAACAGAAGGCATACCTTGTGTTTGACTCATAGTCAAATGCTGTCGAAGTAAGTATATCAGCAATCTGCGTTTCGGAGACTCTGATCCCACCATTATGGCCAGAGAGTAGCGAGACCATTGTCTCCAGGGAATAGATGCGATCGAGACGGTTCTTTATTCCGACACATGCATGAGAGTGAATCCATTGAACGCAATAATCTACACATTCAGTACTTTCGTTCTAAAAAGGAAGGATAGCATTAAGTGCAATATTGATTAACATTCAGTACAATAAAATACAATTTAAAAGTATAATTCACATTCAAGAAGTTAACATTCAATACAATAAAATGCAATTTAAAAGTATAGTTCACGTACAAGAAGTTAACATTCAGTACAATAAAATGCAATTTAAAAGTATAGTTCACATTCAGGAAGTTAACATTCAGTACAATAAAATGCAATTTAAAAGTATAGTTCACATTCAGGAAGTTAACATTCAGTTCAATAAAATGCAATTTAAAAGTATAGTTCACGTACAAGAAGTTAACATTCAGTACAATAAAATGCAATTTAAAAGTATAGTTCACATTCAGGAAGTTAACATTCAGTACAATAAATTGCAATTTAAAAGTATAGTTAACATTCAAGAAGTTAACATTCAGTTCAATAAAATGCAATTTAAAAGTATAGTTCACATTCAAGAAGTTAACATTCAGTACAATAAAATGCAATTTAAAAGTATAGTTCACATTCAGGAAGTTAACATTCAATACAATAAAATGCAATTTAAAAGTACAGTTCACATTCAGGAAGTTAACATTCAGTACAATAAAATGCAATTTAAAAGTATAGTTCACATTCAGGAAGTTAACATTCAATACAATAAAATGCAATTTAAAAGTATAGTTCACTTTCAAGAAGTTAACATTCAGTTCAATAAAATGCAATTTAAAAGTATAGTTCACATTCAGGAAGTTAACATTCAGTACAATAAATTGCAATTTAAAAGTATAGTTAACATTCAAGAAGTTAACATTCAGTTCAATAAATTGCAATTTAAAAGTATAGTTCACATTCAAGAAGTTACCATTCAGTACAATAAAATGCAATTTAAAAGTATAGTTCACATTCAAGAAGTTAACATTCAGTTCAATAAAATGCAATTTAAAAGTATAGTTCACATTCAAGAAGTTAACATTCAATACAATAAAATGCAATTTAAAAGTATAGTTCATGTTCAAGAAGTTAACATTCAGTACAATAAAATGCAATTTAAAAGTATAGTTCATGTTCAAGAAGTTAACATTCAGTTCAATAAAATGCAATTTAAAAGTATAGTTCACATTCAGGAAGTTAACATTCAGTACAATAAAATGCAATTTAAAAGTATAGTTCACATTCAAGAAGTTAACATTCAGTTCAATAAATTGCAATTTAAAAGTATAGTTCACATTCAAGAAGTTAACATTCAGTTCAATAAAATGCAATTTAAAAGTATAGATCACATTCAGGAAGTTAACATTCAGTACAATAAAATGCAATTTAAAAGTATAGTTCACATTCAAAAAGTTAACATTCAGTACAATAAAATGCAATTTAAAAGTATAGTTCATGTTCAAGAAGTTAACATTCAGTTCAATAAAATGCAATTTAAAAGTATAGTTCACATTCAAGAAGTTAACATTCAGTACAATAAAATGCAATTTAAAAGTATAGTTCACATTCAGGAAGTTAACATTCAGTTCAATAAAATGCAATTTAAAAGTATGGTTCACGTTCAAGAAGTTAACATTCAGTACAATAAAATGCAATTTAAAAGTATAAGTTAAGAGTACAGTGGTGATCATTCAATTAATATCACCTAATAATATTTTATAATTTCATTGTTTATTGGAAACTTAACTTTATTTTTTACAGTTAGAAATATTCAGTGAGAAACAGTGATTGACATATATGTACTAGATAGTATGAGGCAAGCTGATTGTGTTCTGCTATCATCAATTACTCATCATATAATATGTGTTTTTGAAGTATCAAAATTACTAGAATAATCCTTAATTTACCTATATTCACCCTATAGAGTGAAATTATATTATGACCAAAACTGTTGGGATAAACCAACCATCAACCAACCAACCAACCAACCAACCAACCAACCAACCAACCAACCAACCAACAACCAACCAACAACCAACCAACCAACGTCGCAAAAAAACGGAGACCATAACAATATGTCACCACTTGTGGTGGTGATATAAATAAAAATGATAGAAAACCTACCATACAAAACAAAGGTGGATACTCCTGTTTTTCACCACTGGGGTTAACAAAGTTCTCCATCTGTATCCAGATTCCTCTATAGTTGTCATCTGCTAACTCAAATCCTGACACTGGAATCTGATGGCTCTCATCACCTTGCAAAAGCAAAATTGAAAACAGGATACTAAGCACATACAATATTTCATATAAAAAACTAATCAACATTAAAATGCTGAAATGTCAATCATACTGAATTCTTAAACTATTTTATAAGTATTGTGTCATTTGTTATGTCATTTGTTATATATAAAACATATATTCAAGAACTGAATAATGGTATTAAACGTAATTTTGAAGGCACTATTAAAACTTTAAATTTTGAAATCTGTACTTGTAAAAATGAATTTTTTAAAAACAAATGGAAAATGATTAAAACATAACTCATTATACATTATTGTAATTTATTGTATCATTGTATTTCTGTATTGTAAAAACCTAAATTGGAATAAACTATATTTGAAAAATAAAAAAACACATTAAAATGCTTAAACATATAGAGACTTGTCACTAGGCATCAACGTATAAAATGTAAACCATGTCCGTAAATTAGCATTTGAGTAATCAAAGATTACATCCCTTTTTTACAAAAAATAACAGCAATTTTGAAATTCAGCTGCCATTTTGAAAATCTTTATCGAACAGAGCTACTGTGTCCCATTTTGCCGCCATCTTGGAAATTCTTTCTTGAAGAAATCTACTTTGTCTCTAGGCATCATCATCTTTTAAAGTTTGAACCGAATCCGTTCACCTTTAATATTTGAGTTATCAAAGATTGTTTTTTTGCGAAAAATGGCCGCCATTTTGACATTTAGCAGCTATTTTGAAAATCTCTTCTACAGCATGGTCCTTTGTCCTTATGGATCAGCATTGAACCAAATCCATCAACTTGTATTTGAGTTATCAAAGAGTATGGTTTTTTACGAAAAATGGCGGCCATTTTGAAATTCAGCCACAATCTTGGAAATTCTTTCTTGAACAAATCTACTTTGTCCTTGGGCATTATCATATAAAATTTGAAGCAAATTTGTTCACTGATATTTGAGTTATCAAAGAGTACGTTTTTTTACGAAAAATGGCTGCCATTTTGATATTTAGCAGCCATTTTGAAAATCTCTTCAACAGCATAGTTCCTTCGTCCCTAGGCATCAGCATATAAAATTTGAACCAAATCCGTCAACTAGTATTTGAGTTATCAAAGATTATGGATATAGCCCTGCATAAGGACACTAGCGGTTACCGTTAGTGATTTTGTTTTCTGTATAAAAGGTCATTTTTCTCCTTCCCTACCCCATTAGAGCGCCATCTGGCATTCAGAAAGTGAATCGGGACTCGATATTTTTAAGGTAGGTCTTAATTTATCTGAAAACATGTCATAGTTCACTGGGAAATCTCATTTTAAGCTGGCGGCAGTGATTTTGACCTTGGTGACTTTACCAGAATTCTCTGAGAAATCTGACGATAGAGGGGGTTAGTGTCTTCAAGTTTATTTATCTCAAAAATTCGGTGGACAACCCATGGTAAGATTGTTATAGCAGGCTAAAAAGTCTCTCCCGAACACTGTGGTATGTTGTGCTAAGCTTGGATACTAATCGTCAATGTAAAATGTTACAATGGCAATCTATGGGAAACTCTTCTGGAGTCTCCAACCTATATTTTTTATGAAAAATGGCGGCCATTTTGAATTAAGCAGCCATATTGAAAATTCCTTCTCGAGCAGAGGTTCTATTCCCATAAGGTATACGCCTATCAAATTTGAATCAAATCTGTCAACTGGTATTTGAGTTATCGCCCAGACAAACAGACGGACAGACTGACGAATGGACGGCTTTCCTGTATCCCCCTCAAACTTCGTTTGGTGGGAAAACCATGAGTCAAAAGGATGACAATAGATATTTGATTTGGATTCTTACTATTACTCTGGCATGTGTATCTGTAACCAAGAGGAATCTCTCCTGGACATACAAACTTCTGGTAAATTTTTGATATCCCTTTTCTTAGCGAGAACTCCACTAGCGCCACCTCACAGGGAAGATAATCACCAGCAGTAGTCCGACATAAAGTTTGGAAGTTGATAAGGTAGAATTTATAGTCCATAATTTCTGCAAGAACGAGACACAGAGTGAATATATCTGAACAGATATAGTCTAAGCATAAATGCAATATAAAATACTGTAAATGAGATATTCATACTACAGAGATACTAGAATTCTGCAAGCCAAAATGTGAAATTCTGCATTTTATTGAGGCATTTTTTCATGACATTTTTGTCAAAATGGTGTGAAATTCAAAATAAAACTGCCATATTTTTCTAATGTGTACATGTATTTGAACAACATACATATTTAATAATAACAATATAGAGATGACATATTGGCCAGGAGAAAAAGAAGATGCATAGGCTATGAAAGATCTTCATAGAAATTTTTAAAACAATTTTTAAATAAAGATGGCATGGTTATCGATTTGTGTTTATTTACTTCGTGACTACTAGTTGTTCCAAGCAACGTAAACTTTTTTTAAAAACATGAACAGTTTTCTGTCTTAATCTCTACAAACGTGAGCTACATATGATTAAAATGGTCTACAAGCACTTAAAACACTGCTAGGTAAGCTTTCAGTTCAATTTATGTTCTAAAAACATGAATTCCACGAAAATCAACAGAAATACAATATTCTGCAAAAATTGCTGCGGCGCGGAAAACGTAATTCTAGTATCTCTCCTACATGGCGTTTTTCATAATTAACACACTGGACAATTCTATTTGATATAGATTTAGTTAACAAGGATTTCTTACCTTCTCCTGGAGGCCACCTGGACTTCAATATCTTCGTCTGTGCGTCTCGTTTCTTCCTCTCTTCTGTCGGTTTGTCTATCCGTTCCTAGATGATAAAAATATAACTATTAACATGCAAAATGTCACCACATGCCATTTGTTACAGATGCCGAAAGCTGACTGCTGAACTCCGACTGCCAAACGCTGTATACTGTCAACAAAATAGTTGAAAACTATAATGATATGCCATGTCTTCTGGTTGTATCATTACAAATAAAAATATTGAAGGCTTGAAGAACCTTGAATGAAAATAACAAAAAGTGTGAATTACTCAAATATAAAAACAAGATTTCAAATCTTTTTTGGGTTTTCGAGTTGGCCGAGGGGGCTTGAGCGCCTGCACGTTCGGGCTAGGCGTTTGGGTGCCATAACAACGAGGTTGCGAGTTTGATACGCATATGCTCCTTGTGTTTATTCATTTATCATATATTCATATATTATTAATGTGAGAAAGTTTACAGGCAGTATTTGATATAGTGCATGTGTTTGCGAATGATATACTGAGTGTCCACAAAGTCTCTTTACAATTGTATGGACACCCTGTATTTGGTGAGTATTTTTTTATTTTTATTTATTTATTTATTTCGATCTACACTTTTGAAACAGTGGAACGCTCTGCAATGCAAAAGTGCGTCGAATGTACAAATTAAGATAAAACAATAATTACAACTTACTAAAAACATTCATTTTGAGTATTTAATATAAACTGTTTTTAAAAACCGTATATTCAAGAATGGGCATACATACACTTATAATATTTCCAACGTTATCTTGTCTGTATTTGTCCCCCTCAACTCCTCGCATCTTTGCTTTGTAATCTTTTGCCATCTTTTCAAACTTTTCTTTTTCTTCTGGCGACAGAGCCTGCAAGCAAACAATTCTACATTAAAAATTCACAGGTAGATACTTTAAAGTTGCAGTATGCCATAGATTTGTTTCCCAGACAATCAATGTCCCCTCATAATAGCTTAAACACAATATCTTACACAAGGCATTAACATGACAAAATGTCACCACCTAAAACAATTTGGGCAATTTAAAGCAAGTTGGAAAATACATTTTGACCTTAAGAAGGTTTGATTTGAACTTCTTAGAACATGTAGATGATTTTGAGAAAAAAATTCGTCAATTTGAAGCAAGTTGAAAAAATATCTCTTTGACTTTTTTGACATTGAGAAGGTCATTGAAGGTCAAATGTCAAATCTAAAGTCAGATTTGAACTTCTGAGAACATGTAGATGATTTTGAAAAAAAAATTAGTCAATTTGAAGCAAGTTAAAAAAAGACCTTTTTGACCTTGAGGTCATTGAAGGTCAAAGGTCAAATCTAAAGACAGATTTGAACTTCTGAGAACTTGTAAAAGTCAAATTTGAACTTCTGAAAAGATGTAGATGTAGATGATTTTGAAAAAAAAATTTGGTCAATTTGAAGCAAGTTGAAAACAGACCTTTTTTACCTTTTTGACCTTGAGAAGGTCATTAAAGATCAAATGTCAAATCTAAAGTCAGATTTGAATTTCTGAGAACATGTAGATGATTTTGAAAAAAAATTTGTCAATTTGAAGCAAGTTGAAAAAAGACCTTTTTGACCTTTTTTGACCTTGAGAAGGTCATTGAAGGTCAAATGTCAAATCTAAAGTCAAATCTATTTTGAATTTCTGAGAACATGTAGATGATTTTGAAATTTTTTTTAGTTAATTTGAAGCAAGATGAAAAAAGACCTTTTTGACCTTTTTTGACCTTGAGAAGGTCATTGAAGGTCAAATGTCAAATCTAAAGTCAAATCTATTTTGAATTTCTGAGAACATGTAGATGATTTTGAAAAAAAAATTTAGTTAATTTGAAGCAAGATGAAAAAAGACCTTTTTGACCTTTTTTGACATTGAGAAGGTCATTGAAGGTCAAATGTCAAATCTAAAGTCAGATTTGAATTTCTGAGAACATGTAGATGATTTTGAAAAAAAAAATTAGTCAATTTGAAGCAAGTTGAAAAAAGACCTTTTTGACCTTTTTTGACTTTGAGAAGGTCATTGAAGGTCAAATGTCAAATCTTAAGTCAAATCTAAAGTCAGATTTGAATTTCTGAGAACACGTAGATGATTTTAAAAAAATTTTTTAGTCAATTTGAAGCAAGTTGAAAACAGACCTTTTTGACCTTTTTTGACCTTGAGAAGGTCATTGAAGGTCAAATGTCAAATCTAAAGTCAGATTTGAAGGTCAAATGTCAAATCTAAAGTCAAATCTAAAGTCAGATTTGAATTTCTGAGAACATGTAGATGATTTTGAAAAAAAATTTAGTCAATGTGAAGCAAGTTAGAAAAAGACCTTTTTGACCTTGAGAAGGTCATTGAAGGTCAAATGTCAAATCTAAAGTCAGATTTGAACTTCTGAGAACATGTAGATGATTTAGAAAAAAATTGAAGTCAGTCTAAACAGTATTTGTTAAGTTATAGGAAGTTGTAAGAAATTGTTACAGACGCCAACCACCAACCGCCGTCGCAAAAAAAACGGAGACCATAACAATATGTCACCACTTTTGGTGGTTACATAATAACCTTATATATATCGTGAAACCAACTTATGAGCATAGTATTTAATTGCCGTTAAATTGAGAAATTCAACACACCAACCAACTGTCAGAATTGAACACAATTGAGTTTGATCGCGGCAAACCCTGACAAGCATCTTCCTTAGCAGGACGGTGTCCATAATTTGTACCTCCTTCTTCCCCCCTGCTTAAACCAATTTGGAAGCCCCCGATTAAACTGAGTCACGTGATCTAATTATGCACCCATGACGTATACATGAGTTCTTAATCGAGGAAATGCTAACTGCTTATAGCTAGCAGGGTGTAAAAATAAAGAAGATATTCTGGATTTTGAAGCCCTGTGATCAGAGGATGCCTGACACGTGACATGAGTATACAAACATTGGCAAACTGGGGAAGTGCTAGAGCCTACCCTGCGTGCAGAGTCTAGTTAAACTACACTCTGCCTAGTAGAGACCATATTACAGTTTAGTAGCCCCGCCCCCACGACGGGCTTGAAGAAACATACGCCAAATGAGTTCTAATTAAATATGCGCATGTCATTGGTCAATTCCGGGCTCAACGATGACGTCAGAAGGAATAACCATATATAGAACGTCGGCCAAATTTGGCCGACGAACACTGATTGGTGCGGTGAGTTAACAGGTTTATTTTAGTCTGAAAGAGTGAAGACGAAGCTCTCTTTTAAGAAGTGAAGTCAAACGAATGCAAAGGGTAGCTAGAGCCAGGCAGCCCATCAGATTTTTAATTTCTTTTATAATTTCCAGAACTTCTATTTAGCCGATTTCTAATTTCTTTTATAATTTCCAGAACTTCTATTTAGCCGATTTTTAATTTCTTTTAGAATTAACTTTTATTTACAGAGTTCCTTTGATCACATGATCATACTGATAAACAAATTTAACGACCAATCAGATAACATATATGAATTTCCCTGGTTTATTCAAGTTTCAGATAATTCAATTTCAACAAATTAATATAATTCGACCGGTCGGCACAATCGCATATAGCACATAAAGCGGCAGATTTGGGGCTTCTTTGTTGGTAAGAAGATAGGTGAATATGTGATATGGCGCGACATGCAAAAAAGCATGCTTTTATCTAATCTATTGTATTTCCATTATTTCCAGTTTGATATGTTTTGTATTATTGCCGACAATGTTGAAAAACTTAGGCAACAATATTGTATTGTATTTTTATATATGGAATAAATGAGAAATGAAAAAAAATTGCAAAAAAGTCCAGGGGGGTGGTCTTGATTGTGCTTTCCTATCGTAACATACTTTTTAAATAGAATTAAGTAACTAATGCTACATTTATTAATTTTCATCTTTGATAATCTCAGTTGCAACAAGGTATGAATATGATAAAATGTAACATCCAGGAAAAGTGTAACAACAGTCAATCTACCCACGAAAATTGATCGGTTGTGGTTGTGGTCACCTGTTTTGACACTCATTTTTTCCCCTGTTGCCTAAGAGTGCCGATTATCTTTATGAGATTATTTTTCTCTTATTAAGAAAAAATGCTTGTATTCTCCTCATGTGGTTAAATGATGACCCTTTTTGACCACATTTTTACCACTCAAGATATGTTTAAGCGTGGTTGTGGTCACCTGTTTTGACACTCATAAAAGTGTGGCCCCCTGCTGGTATTTCTTCCACAATTCCAAGAAATATCTCCCCATAGTTTCTCCTCATAATGAGAAAGTGTGGTTAAGGTGTTCTGAAACTATGGAGGAGCAGGACATTAACTTTAATATGATTTAAGGTTACAATATTATTAATAGGGCTTAAAAGGGTTAATGCTTGTTAAAAATATTTTTGGATTTAATGTACATGATAAGTCTGTTATACCTGTTATTCTGGTATCTAAATTGTTTTATGCATCTTCTATGAAATATTCCATTACGCATGTGGCATCTATGAGAATGTTGTATGATTGAAGCATAGGGAGATGGGTTCATTTGATCACATATACATTTTATACTCTGACTGAGGTTAAAGAGTTTAATCTTTACAAAATATTTCAGTAAAATGACATAAGGGTTAGAGTCAAATGGATGATGCTTGATTTTTCTATTTAGGGAGATCAGCAGTTTGTATGGATATAAAACAAAGTATTTTAAATTAGTTATTCTAAAGGGAAGCTTATTTTGACTGAACTGACTAATCTTATTATTAATTAAACAATAACAGGATGTGTCTGCTGTACAAATACATGTAATCAATATGTTAAAATATAGTCCAGACATGATTTTATTATTTCTTAGACATCAACGACTTGTAGAGTCACAGAATAAAAGTTATACCTGTAGTTAGTGAATTTATTTGAATTATATCGATGTTTATTTTAATAATAAGATCATAACTGTAATCAAGAGTCTAAATCTCAGGATTAAATAAGAAAAGGATGTTGCTGATATGTTTATACAAACAATAGTTCAATAAGTCTGTTTACTTGTTATTACACATTCCAGAATGTGCTTTGTGGACAAATTGGGTCCTAAATATATTTTCAAAAACCCTAAATTCATGTGAATGAGGAAACCTAGCAATGTGATTTTTGTTTAACTTTAATTTCAGTATATTTTCCAAGACATATTTTAATCACCCTTAAAGCTACAGTTATATGGACAGAAAGGATGAAAATTGGCCAGCTTTGTGAAAATCTTAAAAATCCAGTTATTTTGGCTGTTCCATTAGTCTTCCTCCTATTTATACCCCATGTCCCTCTTTAAGTTGATACCAAAGGTTGATAGTAGTAGGTTGTTCTATAGCAACAACCCAAGTTGATGCATTTTGTGCGAGATATTTATATTCATAATCATGTGATCTTTTTTGTGAACTGGTCAAACTGTATTTTTTTCTATTATTATCATTTACCTTACGTTTTGATAGGTAGATCTACTGATCTATACTAGCTTATTGAATATGACTTTTTAAAATCCTGTTAACGATATATCGGAAAGTTTCAATAGTTCAATCAAATTGAAGTAATTCTGTAATTGTTCTGTTTCAATTTGAAATGCATCTGTTAGTGTTATGAAAAATATGTTGTCTGCATTAGGGTTAACTGTGAATTGAGTAAGTTCAATGGGACAACGTACATTCGAGTTGACAACGTACACTTAGGATTTTTTTAATTATAGCCAGAATGTTAATACATGTACTTATTAAATCTTCAACAGACCTTAATTGTGCTGTTTAAAAAACATATTCTCATAAAAATCTTCGACACTCTTAGACGACAGGGGAGGAAATGATCAAAGGAAATGTGTAAAAACACAACATTTTCCAACCGACCAATTATATGGGTAGACTGACTAAGAAAAAAATCGAGCACTGTTCGAAAATCTTTTAACGTTATTATGTCTTAAATGTCTTCCTAAACGAATACACAAGAAATCAAAAAAGAAATCCTTAATGCATTCCTCAGATTATTTTTTAAAACCTGCATCAAACCTACTACATCATTGTCTTTGCTTCAAATCGGTTAAATAGTGACATCGTACATCTAAAGTGTACTACGGTTTATTTTGTCATTGTACCTAGTCGATGGTTAGGCGTGTAAGTACATATTTCAAATGAATGAACAAATAAAATTTACAGCAATAAATATTTCCATGATGATGGCTATAAAATCGATTGGAATTTATAATCATATTTATGTATCATAATTAATAAGCAACTGAATCAACAAGGAGATAGTTCTATCATCCAATACCCTTTACAAAAAGAATGCTAAATATCTAAACTCTTCAAATTAGACATAATTCCTTGAACTTACAGGCCCATGACCAGATGGGAGGGGTGGGGCAGGGGTTCTGGGGTTTGACCCTATCTGTTCAAACATCGTTTAAAATCATGCAGTTCTTCACCATTCTAAGCACCTTTCAAGTTATATTAGGTAAAAATTGTCAAATTCGAGCCCCTTCGGAATTTTTGGAAAAACTGACCCCCCTCAGCAAAAACTGGTTACAGTCCTATCTAGCCTTATCTAATCAGAATAACTGTACAGTCTAATAACAAGAAAAGTCTGAAAGTTTATCAGCATTAATAAAAGGCTGTAAAAACTTAAGATTTTATCAGAATCAATATTGTTTTGATATAGTCAGAGTAGAGGATGATACTGAAAGCTTCAGAGTTAAAGGGTATAATCAACTAATTTTTCTATATAGTCATAACAATGTAATTCACTTGGAGGTACAATTACTTGCCAATCATGAGTTTATGTTTATATTATTAGTCATAAAATTAAAGGAATAGACAAGAAATAAAGTAAACATAAATGCAATAAACAAGGAGTTAACGCAAAAAAATGAAAGAAAATAAAAAGCATCATGAATTGAAACAACAATCAAAATAAATAAAAATAGCAAGCAATTACTCAAAATCTTAATTTTTATACATGGACACAGCTGGCTGCCAAAGTCCTCAAAACAAGGAGAGAATTTGGTAAAAACTACAAATAAACATATGTATTACCCTCCTTTATGAATACTTTTGATTATGACAAATATTGATCAGTTGGGACTCTGTTTAATATCCTGTATAGAATATATTAAATGCATCATGTAATTCAGACTCTCACAACAAAAAGTTGCTGTGTTGAGGGTTTTGTTCGTTTTTTAAGCAACATCCTAGAATTTTTTGTGCAACATTTTATGAGGCACATTGAACTAGAAGAGAAGGGAGCGAATTGGTGTTTTGGATTATTAGAAGGTGGTGTGCTTCAATAAGAGATGTCTCATGAGATTTCAGTGTGGAAGAGCACTATAATAGATTGGTTTCACAGGGCATATGATCAGTAATGAGCCATAGCTAAATGTCTGTCAGTCAGTCAACTTATGTTCAATTCACTGCATTAACCATATTTCTAGCGATAACTTGTCTGCTTTTCTGCATTTTCTATAAAATTCAGAGGGTTTATAGGGGTTTCATTTGTACCAGGCATCATGCATATTCCTCTTATCAAAAAGTTTGTTTGCTTTTTTTCCTTCTATTGTGCATAACTCTTATCAAACTACATAATATTTAATTAAATTTCAGCACATATAGCTGCTGAAAATGCCAGTTTAAGAATACAATCAGACCAGTACACAGGGAGAAATGCAGATTACTCAATAAGTGTCACGAGTGCTAAATTAGCACTCGTGACATGAGTGCACTTTTGCCAGAGTGCTAATTTATTACTACTTGAGTGCTATTTTAGTACTTATTTTGTGAAAATTAAAATAAGGGTTTATTTTAGTACCGCTTTAGTAACGATATTTTAAGTAATGATTGAGTACTATAGACCTATTGTTGACTCAAATAATCAATTATAATCAACATGACATGACAGCAAACATTTAGGTCATTAAAGCTATACCTCTCTCCAAAATGCAATAAGTGAACATAAATTATTTTTCCATTTTCATACGACTGAAGAGATAATAAACGCTTAAATATAAATTTGACATAGATATAAACGTTTTTTAAGCATAAAATCAAAGCACAACCATTAACTTAAAAAATAAGAAAAGACAGTGTCGGGATACGAACCCGAACTGTCACAGTGATGGGCGAGCTCTCTGCCACTGTACTAACCAGGCATTAGTTAGGCGCATGTACAATTTAAGCGGAGTTATTTAAATTTCTTTTTAGTTAGTCACGTGAGACATTCTAAATTTAGAAATCTTCAAAGAAATAATACCGGCGAACTTCTGAGCAATTGAATGAACAATCGTCAAAATAACATCTTTATTGTGAGTATTTCTTCACAGTATTTGCTCCATTTGTTCATTATTCTATATTTTCTCATTAAAGCACAAAATATTACCAGGGACCCCGGGAACAACCTAAGATTGCATTTCAGAGAGAGGCGCCACTTTAATCAGCACATTTGAACCTCATAATATCTTTCCAAGATCTTTCCAATACATCAAGCCTTTGTGATGAACTCTCTAATTTTCAAATGGGTGCAAATGGATTTTCAGGTTGGTGCCATCCTTTTTTAAAAAGCTCAAGCAGGTGAAGCTGCACCCACGTGCCATTTGTAACATCAGTTTGACGTACCTTAAATCTGGGGTGCGCTATTGGGACGACATCAGCCAGACCATTCGGGAAAACGCGACCTTCACGCTTCAAATCCGGCAAGATGGTCTGCATAAACCAATAGAAGGCATTCCCCTTAGATTGATTCTTCTTAGGCATATTGTTTCTGTGTAGGTGCTTCGTTCAGATTTTTTTTATTTCTGGGATGATCTGAAATATAAGAAGTTAGGGTGTTAATGGAAGTAGTGCACTCTCCAAAAAATTTATTCATCTGATTTTTCAAAATGAATACACTGCTTTTATTCGTGAAAAAAATTGCTATACCTGCACATGTTATTTTCTGGTACAAAATAAAGTATGAAGGCATGTGTTAATTTCCTTGCTTTTTTCAGGAAAGTATCATTGCATTGTCTTCTTTTAGAATATCTGGTAATAGTTCAATGGGAACTCAAGGAAATTCTGATATTTCACACTTTCTATTTTTCCAAATTTTCTTTCAAAGTTTCCAGACAACACAGGAGCTACCATTGACCTGTTTCCAGGTTTACTAAAAGTAGACAGTGTAATGATACTTTCCTGAAAAAAGCAAGGAAATACACACATGCCTTTATACTTAATTTTGTACCAGCAAATACCATATGCGTCTGTGCAGGTATAGCAATTTTTTACCAAAATGTTACTTTCCAGCTGAACCTTAAGTAGACATGATAAAAAATTTCATGTTATTTTCAAGATGTTTAAATCACCAATAATTAAAGGATTCGGTAATATTTTTCACAACTTTATAAGGATATGTTTAGCCATTTGAGTTCTCAAATTTGACTGCTATAATATAATGGAATTAATGGGGACATTAGCTTATATTGAGGCAGACCAGGGTAGGAAATGGTTATAAAGTTGGTGTGACAACTTTGAATAACATTTACCCAGAATGTCGAAAAACTAATCAGTTCTAAACTTTCATAGGTAGAAACATCCCTGAGAATTTCAAATGAATCCCTCAAACGGTTTGGCTGGAAACCTGTAGACAAGATAATTCGAGGCGGCCGCCCGCCCGCCTGCCGCTTGGCAAACTGATTACAATATAGCACCTTAGGGTGCGATAAAAACACATTTTTTAACCCCATTTGATTCTACTGTAAATACCAGCCTAAATGTCCTCTCAAAGCCCAAAAAGTTGTGGTTGTCTAAAATTGAAGAAATGTATACACTCCAATCTTTAAATCAGCCAGTATTTCAAAATGTTCGCCATGGACATGTAGGGATCATATTGATGTCACTAACAATCAACTACACGTAACTATTCAAACTTGCTTATGCGTAGTAAGATATAAATGAATCACAGGTTGTAAACATTCAGCCTTGGCACCACAGGAATTGCCTTGTATTTTACCAAACAACATGTCAAATACAACTGCAATTCTTTAGTGAAATTATTCAATACACAATTTATTAATGTTATTGACCTAACAACCAGAAATGCTGTGGAAAACCTCTGGAGATTTCCGTAAATTACCTAGCGAAAACCGCCATATTGAAATTGGGCTGAAAAAAACGTTCACTTACAAGTCTTGATTGACAAAGAAGCATTTCAGCGCTCCAATATTTGCACAGATGAATGCCACTGATGTAGGATACAGTTAAAGACCAAAAGTAAGCCGCGCGCCAATAACATTAATTTGTGTTTTAAACGTCACTACTATTCAGCTGTCCAGTACGCAGTGGGAGAGCTATTATATCAAAATCCACATTGTAGCTTTCGCAGGAAGAAGGGCAAAAGGGTGTAATGTCGACACCATTTTGGGTTAACTTCGACAAATCATTGTTTATTTGCTCTAATTTCCGATCTTAGCCATGTTTTTTTTCTCGTATGGATCGAGATTTCACGAGATTTAATTTTTCCAGAAATCAAACATGGAGGAAAACGGAAATTCTACTTCTAATAAGTAAGTGTCGAAGTTACCCCATATCTTATGTCGACATTACCCCACACGTCAACGTTACACACCTTTGCCCTAAATCTAGATAGTATTGGTGCTAGATAAGAGGTCCACTTATCACATAAAAAGAAAACAGAATTTGAATTTTTCTTACCCTAAACAATTAACACTAAACAGTGGCGTAGCGTGGCAATTTTACTAGGGGACGCAAAATTCCAAAATTGGGATGGGGGGGGGGTTTACCCGATACGCATTCATTTCCACTTGAAATTTACTCATAAGTACTCATAATAAGTCTTGTAGAAATTCCAATTTTTACGAAACGATAAGGTTGAACAATGGCTTTGCTTATTAAAACTTGAGAAATTTAGAATTTCCAAATATTCAGATAAACATTGGATTGTTTCAGTGGACGCATTTGCGTACTTTGCGTAAACGACGCTACGCCACTGCTAAAACTACAATCTAAGGGAGTGTACATTCCCGGGGATCATGATCTGAATTCATGGGAATTTGAGTGATCAGCACATTTGATTTCAGGACTAATTTTGAATCGAATCAGAAGTATCTACTATGCAGAATCCCAAACAGAAAATGTATTCAAATTGAGACTTTATAACTACTTTAAATATTGGAGAGTAATTTGCTGTGTTGAAACGAGATATAGGCAGCGAAAACGAGAAAATAAACAAACCTTTCTGGCAGCAACTCGTGAAAATTTTGGCCATGAGAACTTTGAGATGGACAACTTAGAAGAAGAACGAAACCATCAATTATTTAAGATTAAAGATGTCCGTGGTAAATTCATACGGTTTACGGATTATGTATTTTTCGAATTTATTGAGTAATTATTTGGTTGTTTATATATAAGTGCAAAAAGTCTATTATTCAGTCCTATTGTGGAAAATTTTAAGTATTTCCGTTTCCGAAATTCCATGACTAAAATGTTGACTGTGTCTAGAAGTAGGAATCAGTAAAATCTGAAGAAACGTGAATTTAATTTTTATAAATCTTAATATTTTGACAATGTCATCTTCTTCAGCACCCCGTGCTTTGAGAATAGCTTACAGAAATAAAAAGCGCAATATGTCAGCAACGTATGGTCACGATGAAATGGGTATAGGGTCTGGACCAGCCGGTCGAATAAGGAGACTTCGCGAAGTTGTCACTGCCCTCGTTCGACATGAACGAATAGAATCTACAAATACTCGACTTCTTGAGACCCGTCCATACATGGAGAGGGTGAGTCTACACGTTTCAATTATTAAGTAAATCAGTCGCGTCGGGTAGCCTTGTAGCATGACGGTAGAAAGAGTGGTATTCCTTCGGTTGAGCATGGAAATATGACATAGGCTAGAAAGTACTAAAAAGTCGGAAAATTATTGTTTTGGCTCATTGCTTTTTACAAAATTTGAATCTTTTTTTAATTCGCTCACAGTTATTATCACACGCCCGCCTTAAGGTACATCTGGAAAGTAACATTTTGGTAAAAAATTGCTATACCAGCACATGTTATTTTCTGGTACAAAATAAAGTATAAAGACATGTGTCAATTGCCTTGCTTTTTTCGGGAAAGTGTCATTACATTGTCTTCTTTAAGAATATCTAGTAGGAGTTCAATTGGAACTCAAGGAAATTCTGATATTTCACACTTTCTATTTTTCCAAATATTCTTTCAAAGTTTCCAGACAACACAGGAGCTAATTGACCTGTTTCCAGGTTTACTAAAAGTAGACAGTGTAATGATACTTTCCTGAAAAAAGCAAGGAAATACACACATGCCTTCATACTTGATTTTGTACCAGAAAATAACATGTGCAGGTATAGCAAATGTTTACCAAAATGTTACTTTCCAGCTGAACCTTAACACAAAATCCTGGATTCGCCCCTGTTATCTTACGAATTACATGTAACTTGAAAGCCCATGATGTAATTTATCGCAGTAAAATCAAGCGTTTTCCAATGGGTTTGTTTCAAGGCTTTGCATTTGGAAACAAATATCAAAATTTTAAAAATCAATAAATCAATAAATGCTAAAGCCTTCTACACTGGGGGCCCGCCCCCCCCCCTTGGGTGGGCCCAGAAAAAAAAATGGGCCCAATTTCTGTTCTGATTTTAGTAAAAAGATTTTGGGCAAAAAAAGGCCTTCAGACCTAAAAAAGTGGGCCTTTTTGGTCATTACAAGGCCTTCTAAGGCCTTATTTTTTAATTTCAGGCCGAATTTTGAAGAAAATGGGCCTCAAAATTTCAAAATTTCGGCCCACTTTTGAGTTTCAGGGGCCCAAAATTTTCGACTGACTAATAAGATGGGCATCTGGCACAAGGTCACGTGACCCATTCTTACGATGGTCTCAAACAAGACATGACAATCTAAAATTCCCAGTAAGTTTACCCTTCTAAAAAATTCGACCTACTTTAAAAATTGAATTCCTTCGTGTTTCCTACCAATTAAATTCACCATATTTTTTTTAATCCTCATGTACATTATTATTTTGACCAATTGATGATGCCTGCATTGGTGTTAATTTAACTACCAACAAAGGTCAGGCACCAACCTTGGGGGAGGTGTTCTGTCACAGGGTGTTCTACTGTGTATATCACAGTGGATTGGGCGTATACAGCAAGAGGTGCTCACCCAGCCGGGCCTGACCTCACACCCGGCAGGCACTCATCAATCATGTAAGGGGGTGTAAACGGACTTTCCATCAAATCGGAGCAACTTAAGCGTCTCATACGTTTGTTTAAACATATGAGATGTTAATTTCTAATGTAAGAAGAATTCATTCCACACAGTTACTATGCAGCTCATTGAGAATTCCCTTCAAACCCCCCTCCCCTGCTACCGTAATCTTCATCGTCTAGTTTACGAATACCACATGTTGATATGATGTTTTAATTGATAAAAGCGATTTCTTACACATTTCTTTATCTTATTGTGAAATAGCTATGAGATAGGTTCACTCGCCAGAAATTAACATAATATTATTTGGAGCGATTTTAGAAAATTTTGAAACCACTATCTTGGTAATATTGATTTAAGTGAAGGTGAGGTCAAGGGTCATCCATCTTGCCATTTCCTCGGCCGTATCTTACCAGTCGACAAAAAACAATGAAATCACATTAAAAATAAAACATACACTTTAAAATTGAGGCTGATTGAATGCGAAAAAACTCTTTTGAATACAGCTGTGCAAGTTACAGTCAATTACAGTTAATTCTTAGTATGAAAATCTTGTAACTGATTAGTTTTTCTGCATTCTGGGTAAATTTTAAGGTGGCTTTTTTGAATTTTCCATCCTAAAATCCTCTCTGTAAAGTCTACACATTTCCTGGCAAACTAGATGAAGGATCAATTTCAAATTTCCGGGAATGATTCTTTGTATATAAATCTCAAACAACTTAGTCTTTGGGCAGTCCTGCTAAATTTTAAGGCACCCAAATTTTATTTTTCTCTTAAAATCTCGTCGTCTCAACTGATTTGTGTTCGCCATTCAGGATGAAAAGTTTGCAGTATATAGGATCACCCATTGGTGGGGACATGTTGTGCACATTTGTGTTCTTGTTTCAAAATTATCTACAAGTTATCAGAAGTTCAAATCTGATTTTAGATTTGACATTTGACCTTCAATGATCTTCTCAAGGTAACAAAATGTCAAACTTGCTTCAAATTGACCAAATCCTTTTTTTCAAAATCATCTAGTATAGAAGTTCTCAGAAGTTAATCTGACTTTAGATTTGACATTTGACCTTCAATGACTTTCTCCAGGTCAAAAAGGGTATTTTTCAAACTTGAAAATTGAAATACCAAACACCACTCTAAATATTTTATTTTTTGTTCTAGCTTATTGCTGATGCTATAAAGTTTGGTGACAAACACAGAGCAACAATGGAACTAGCTGATTTTTGGCTCTTGGTAAGTTTTTTTCTATATCAGTAAATGATAAGAAGCATGCATGATCTTTTTTTATTTATAGTATAAACTTGGCAAAGTAAAGTTAATATATTGTTGCCTGCCCCAATCACCATGTTGGCATTATAGTTTTGCCAGCGTTTCATTATGACAAAATTAAAGTATACACTTTGCTGCTTTCGGACATTGTTCCTAATATTATATTATATCTTTTATTGACTCTTTAGATGTCATATCATGACATATTAGTAACTAAGGTAGAGCAGTTCTTCCCATTGTACATTGATTTTGCAAATTATCTGTTTTTTGGCTCATTATGATATCTGGTGATCTCCGCAGCATTAATGTATGTATGTATCTTTATGTCTGAATTGTGAAAATGAGAATTTTGCACCCACCTGAGAAAAAATCCTGGGGAGATCACTGATATCCATTGCTTTGATTACAGGAAAAAGATTTAGTGCATAAATTGTTCAAAGTGCTAGTTCCACGACTGGAACATACAGAGAAGTCATATACCATGATGCACAACTTGCCAAATAAATATCCATCTGGACTAGGCCAGGCCATATTAGAACTTAGAGGTAAAAAGTTCTTTTATTTTTCTGAGCAATTAAAATTATAATGTGGTAACACCCATCTCACTGGTGGTAACACATGCTTTTGTGATAGCACATGTCCCCTATTGGTTATACCTATCCCACCAGTGGTAATACACATTCTCTAGTGGTAACAGATATCCTCAAGTGGTAACATACATCTCCTATTGGTTACAATTAGCCAACCAGTGGTAAGACATATCTTTCAGTGGTAACAAATAGTCCAGTAACACTCATCCTCCAGTGGTAATGATATGCATGTCGTTTGTACTTTTCAGGTAACCCCTACCCTCCTGTAATCACCAAATTCAGGGAAACAAAGAACAATTTAGTGAATGTCCTTGTCGAAGAAGCCAAGAAAGACTATCGCAGTCAGAGAGCCAATGAACAGAAAATGGCGACATTTAAGGATATAGACACTGATGTATTAGAAGCAGAAGAAAAGACTTTAGTAGATGAAACAAAAAACATTGATAAACATAAGGAAGGAACCCCTGTATAGTGTTAGACTGGATGTGGAGTTGGCATGAATGATTTTGGTTGAACTGTAATCCATTGACAAAATGTCTAGAATTGAGCTCAGTTGGTTGAAAAAAAACATGAAAAAATTAATCTTCATGCTGTTTATTGTGTTTTTTTGTTGTTGGCTGGGAGCCAGATAAATTCTGTTATCAAAACTCCAGAAAAATCACTTATATAGGGTGGTCCAAAAAATGGGACACTTGTATTAATAAAAACGTATCATATTATATACCAGTGGATAAGGAATTTAGTTATCTTTAATTTGGTATATCATAAGTTCAAATCTATTATAATGCCTTTCAACCAGCGTCCATAATCCAAATGACGTCAATTTCGTTTCAAAACAGTTTTTCAAAAACTTAAAAATCAAGTTCTGATTTTACAAGTTACAATCATTGTTTATTTTTGAAATACAAGTGTCCCATTTTTTTTGACCCCCTGTACACTGGTGATCAACTCAATTACGCTGGTTAACGGAATGGTTCGTTTCTGTTTTGTCGCAACCTCGAAGGTACGATTTTTCTTTTTTCCTTCGTTGTACGCAGAATTCCTATGACATTTTTTTTATCAAAACCGTGTGTCAGTATCAAATGTTTAAGAAAATGTACATGTTTGCAATTAACAGAATAATAGATTAAATTCCTCACTTTGGTAACGTAAACGGAACTTCAAAAACCGATTAGGATCTGCACTTCTAACCCGTTCTGATTACGTAACAATAGTGAGGTATAAAATCGACCATTCAACAAGTTCTAATCAATTGAACTATTGAATGACATCAGTTATTTTAATTACAGTTAATCCCCAAATACATCATTCTGTTTTGGTGAATACATACCTGATCGATGCAACACGAACAGTAGCATTTGATATAGGCGGCTTTTTTAGTTCATGAATTTTGTTTCAAGAATATGATTTAAATATAAAATACATTGAAGAATTGCCTGTTGAATTAGACTCACAGTTGCCCTGTCTTAATTTTGCATGCATTCCAAGATCCACCAATGCACATTGGACGTTGCATCGAGAAATGTGTCGGTCGGCGCATAAAACGTGCCGATCGGTGCATCGATGAAATGCGCCAAGATACACTGTGCAGATGCACTGTGATGGCCGCTCTGGACTGTACTGTATGCATTTTTTGCAAGTGATATTTCATGAAGCCAGATGGGCTCATGAAATATCACCCCGGAACACAAAACAGGTATTCACACAAAATAGAATGAAATATTTCTTTTATTATTATATGATACTGTCAAGCTCATTCAATATTACCAATTTACAACATTGACAAAATTAATATACATGTCATGATTATAATCTGGATGGACATTGAATGAAATAGATTAATTTCGAAAATTCCCAAAAGAGGTGAATTTAAGAAATATAGACCGAATAGCAGGGGTAAAATCATCAAATACACCCCGCAGGGCTAGGCACAAACGTTTTCTGTAATCCAAATGACCAAAGGGAGTGAGGGGTTCGAAAGCTTTCATGCCTAGCCCTAAGGGGTGTATTCGATGACCCCTGCTCTGAGGTCTACCGTATATTACGATTCGAACATGAAAACTCACCAAAATGTTTCGAATGTCGATTATTGCCTTATTGTTCGTGACATGTGACTCAATTTGACCAATCATACAATTGCAACTTGACAGTGATATTATAAGTAATCTTGCCAACAGAATTAAAAAAAAAATTTCAATGAATTCAATATGAAAATCACCGTTTTGTTGAAATGACTCTGAAATTAAAGCCTGGTAAAGCATGTTTTACTGTAACAACCTTCACACAGGCATTTGATAAATGTACATTTCCTGTTTGTATTGAGCTTCCTTTTTATATTAATATAGTTAAAAAGTGACATTGAGATATAGTGGAAATAAAAGTATTGGTTACACAAAGTTTATCAATAATCATTATCTCTTAATAAATCTGGTATGACCAAAAAATATTAACTTTATATCATATTACACTAAAAAGGCTATCAAATGCAGGAATTTGAATTAACTATTTTGGAGATTTATTCTAAAATACAAAATGGCCATGTTATATAAGTTCTAACTTCTTATTCTGAAATAAAGAAAACAGGATTGTGAATATATTTTGTTTGCTATGACTTGCTATTGAATGGAGTTGTCATATACAGGGTGGGCCAAAAAATGCCACTTTTTTCAAAATGCTATAACTTTTTTTAATTTTTGATACAAAATTATAATTTGCATACCAAATGAAACTTGAGGTTGTTATCTAGCCATGGATCATGAATTATACACTTTTACTTGAATAAAATATGTTACCAGCATCTCACTAAACATGTGGTGTGCCATGAGAAATAAGCATAATTTGCAAAATGTTCCTGAACTGATACAGCCTGATGATCACCAAGCTAATAGCCCTGATGCAAACCCCAGTGAGTATAGGGTATGGGAAGGTCTCCAGGAGATTGTATGAAGGCACCCAATCAAGAAAATTGCTCAACTAAAGCTGGCAATTAAGACAGGTTGAAAAAAGCTTAGCTAACATTTCATTGATACTGCTATATCAGCAAGGCGACTAAAACTAAAATATATCATTAAATAGGGTGGCATACCAATTGAACTCCTCTTTTAGATCAAAAATATAATCCAAGTTGAAGGACTTGTAACATTATATTATTACTAAGACCCCCTGGCACTATCTAACCGCAAAATTTGGGGTATTTAGGTTGGAAAATAAAAAAGTTGTAGTGTCTTGAAAAAAAGTGGCGTTTTTTTTGGCCCACACTTTATTTAGTTTGGTTTAGCTATGGTTGGTTCCAGGGCCTGTGCACTATATTTCTCTTTACTTTAATATTCCTTTGATTGATGGAATTAAGATGAAGACTACACAAGCATGACGTGGATTAAGGATATGTTAAATATATACATATTATGTGTTAATCTATCTATCAACTACCATCTGACCATGACTATCACATTGTTGAAAAGATATCGAGTTGATACATGTTGCTAATTTAACGATGGATAAATCATGCATATTTTTAGCTTTCATACTTTTTGTTCCACTTATAGCAGAGCCAGATCAATGTAATGATCTTAAGCAATTGATGAAACGCTTGAAGAAGTCAGTAGATGCTGATTTCAAGGATGTCAAAAATACACTAATGTTGAGTAAAGACACTTCATGTCATTGTGGAAGTCAAGGTTTGTATCATAAGTCAATTTGTTTTTTATTGGACAAAATTGTGGCCCACTTCGGTGATACCTGTCCATAATGGAAAAGAAGATTTTAAAAAAGTAAAAATTTTAAGAGATTCAAAAGCAGCCGTATGGACCCGTTTTTCATAAGAGGTCAAATATATTGGGTTTGCAAAGTGATTGACGCCATTAAATATTCAAAATTCAGTCAAAGTGATGTTATATTTGAAATCTACATGTAAAAGTACATCTAGAAATATGGTTTCGAAAATGTTTATCAAGTTTGAAAATTTAATTATTTTTGAAAGTGTGACTTCTAGTTCGGGTTGATTCTCCATAGAGCCCATGTTACAAAATCACAAAAAGTGAAATATCTTTTCTTGTATTGGTCAGATAACATTTTCATTTACTGGACATATTTTGATTTGCATAACTATTAGATACATTAGGGTTATATGAAAATTGAACCACTAAAACAGATGTTATTTAAGTTAAAGGGAACTTTCTACTATACCTGCCATGCTATCTGACCCGAACGAGCCACCTGGTGGTGAAACTGGTAACTACCTACTCGCATCTGCATTATTTACAGCTGGTTTTGAAGAAGAAATTCGAGATGTACTGAAAGTGCAGACTGATCACATAAAAGCTGGAAATTATATCAAAGCTGCTGAAGCATGGGCTAATGATGCTTTGTTGGTGTTTGCGAATGATATTGTGTTCACTGGACGGAATGGTAGGTTATTGTTACATTTTTAAAATCGATGTTTTTTGAGTTGTATGGTGATCAGTAGATCATCCATGAAGTTAAAGGGGCAACAAGGACTGCAGAGAGAAAATTCGAAATTTTTTCTTTTTTCTGAGCTATCAGGTCAATATTTGGATTAACATCTTCTTTGACAAACCTATTTTCTTAAAATGTATGGATAAACTATCAATTTCAGCATTAAGAAGTGTAAATTCAGTACAAAGCTTCTATAAACGGAGTCCCACTTATAGATTTTTAAGATTCATCACGTTTCAAGAGGAATATCAGCTAAAATAAAGTTCATCCAGGGGGTTTCTTTGTAGGTAATGAAAATATATGTTAGTCTTGATGAAATATCCAAAGTTAAATATATTTTGACACTGGTTGATGATCGTTGAATGACCCCCCTGTACTTATTGTTGCACCTTTAAATATAGGCTATTATGAGCAGAACCTAAATGTGATAATGCTTGAAAATTATTATTTAGGAGTTGTGGAAGCTTTTAAAGCATTGGGGAAAGATGGAGTACACCCAAATCCAACGATACAAAGAATAGAAGGAAATTGCAATTATCAGATTGCATATGGCATCTGCAATATAACAAAAACCGAAACTGATGAAGTCGCTGCTGTCCTCCGGTTAGTTTTACCCTTTGAAAGAACTCAGCTACTTCACTCTTTAAATTTTAAGTTTGAAATATTTTTTGCTCTGAAATCATACTACCCTATTCCCATACTGTTGCTTCTATTTCTTTAAAAGGGATACAAGCTACAGTGAAGTTGCAAATGCAGCAGGTATTCTTTATCTTTGTCCATGGTGCTTTTGTGATAATAATTACAATGCAAGGTGCTCGGTGAATATATACACTCATTGTGGTTAGGGCTGAAACGAATAGTAAATTCTCATACCGAATATTCGGCCAGCAAATCCCCATTCGGCCCCGAATATTCGTTAAAAAACCAGAAGTAGATATAAGTTGTTTGATTTCTAAGAGCATGTGAAGTAAATACGCCAACTTTGATTATAAATACTTATTCCAAGCGCATGCGCGTAAAACCGAACCTAAAAACGAACCTGGCGCAGATTGCCTCTCGTACAAACGAATGTTTTTAGCTTTATATTCAAGTATTTAACTCTTATGGATGCCACTGGATTAATCAACAG